TAATATTTTGTGGGTAATTAATTAACCAAATTTGGTTTAAGATAAATATTTTACATTGATTCATATTTAGTTTTTCAACTAATTTGAGATTTTTTTTTCAAAGCAAAATATACTAATTTAAACCGCAGCTAATCTTAAAAAATCTTCGAACACATTGTGTCATAAATTATAAGAGACAAAATCAAAAGGGAAAATAAAATCATGTTAATAATTAGCACGTATTTAACTTTAATATTTTTAGAAAACATTGGTTAGATTAGACATTAATTATGAAAAGGAAACGTGACTTTTATTTCTATAAATTCTCATATTTTTGGTTAATTTTAAATAACATATTTTTAATTAATAATTTATTGTTTAATTAATTTAAAATTTTAATTTTTAAGAAAATTTCAACGTTTCTAAATTCGAAAACATTTTTAACTAATTATTTACAGCTAAACATGAGCTGGTAACCGACATTGCAACATAATGAAAATCACGTGGTTACTGATGTCCAACCATACAATTATTTAAATAATTAAAAAAATGTCTTGATTTTTGGATATTCCAACATCATGCTTACGTTAATAAATGTTTAACACAAGGTTGTTGATTGTGTGTGAACAGCCAAAGATTAAAAAAGTAAATCCATGAATTCGCTCTATCAGCCCAGTTATAATCTGTGAGCAGGCCCATTTCTCTTACAGGCCCTTTATAAGCTCAAATTCAATTTTAGTACATTGTATATAAAAATTTGATCAAAATATACCTTTTTTATATCATTCTTATTTTTTGTTAAAATATATAATTTAGTTTTTTAATCTTCAAACTGTTTCTAAAATTAATATTAATAATGGTTTTAAAGTTGGAGAATTTTTATTTTAAAAATAAAATTGTTAAAATATTACGTCACTCGATCGTAAACAAAACGTGTCTCTTATGCTCTTAAGTCACACGTGCTGTATTTACGTAAAGAGAATTGGAAAAGCAGAAGGAAAAAGAAGACCACGTGCCTTGCGTGTGATGAAAGGCTCTGATGAGTTTTGATGACTGAAGCCTTACAAGCCACGCCATGCATAGCGCTAAGAGTCGCCACACTGCTCCGACCACGTAAGTGCTAAGTTTTTAACTTTAAAAATAAAATTAAATATTTAATTATAAGTATTTAATTATAAGTGTTATAAATGAGTTGTTTAAAATTTGATCAGATAATCATGAAATGTTTCAACTTTTTATCTCAATTGTGACCTATGATTAGTGTAGAAATAACTTATCTCATGTTTAAATTATATGAATAAATAGTCATCAAATCCATAATTATATAATTTTTCCTTAAAATAGAAATAATCTTAATTATTCATTTCTTAATTAGTCAACTCTAAATTTCTAAAATGAAAAAAATATATATTAAAGATAATATATAACTAATAAAGACCGAAGGAGCTAATAAAATATCAAATCGATTTAGAATTATCTTTTAACGTAACATTTATGTATAGTACAAAATTGATTTCTTCTGATTCTATTTTTTATTTTTCTATTTTTGATTGTTATTAACCCAAAGAATATTCGAAAAAGAACATTAATGGTATAATTTGACGTTTATTTCACGCATAAGATATTGGGGATGAAAGCTATCACACGTAGTGATAGGGTTGGTTAGGTTAAGGGGTGTTAATCAATGTCAAAAACTCTCTCACATTCCAATTATTTTGAATTGTTTGATTGATTTGTAGTTTAAAACTGAATTTGTTGACCGTTGTTTGATTATGGTATTATAATAATAGGTGAGCATTCACAACCATCCAATCATATCACTTGAAAATAAAAAACTGAAGTTGTTTAACACCAAAAAGTACACAGTAGAGAAAAACGAGGATACTTCATTTATGTGCTTGCACCTCCCAGAGTCTTTATTTGGGTTAAGATTATGATGATTACTTTACTTGGGAGGAAATAGTACTCGATCAATCTATAAGGGTCAATTTTTGGTGATGATTTTATTACTTGTCTTCGTTGAGCTTCTAGAAGGAGGAATGCACTAATACTCCAATATGGCATTTGGTGCTTTTGGGCGAAACTGAATTGTCGTCCCAATAACTAAGTTTCAAAGTTTTCTCAACAAAACACTTTTCGGACTGAACCACGTCAAATTTTTAATTAATACATAAATCACAATAAAGGACAAATTTATCCTATAAATACACTGATTTTTGTTTATAAATGAAATATTATCGTAATTCAAGACAAGAGTTTTTTTCTTATATTTATAAATCTTGAATTAAATAAATAATAATTTATATATTTTTCCCTTTTAATTCATTGAACATATTTTATGAATAAAATTATAATATATTAAAATTACAAAGCGTATAATATCCCAAACATTGACCCTAATTATTCTATTAAAAAAATGAGACGAGAATATTGTCATTGTTATACAAAATCACCATCGTTAAATTCAATAAACGTTATTATATATCATTAATAAAAAATAACACAGATCAAATTGATTAAAATTTTGGTAAAAACAAAAAATAACGTTTGATTTTATTTATTATTTAATATTTAAAAATAATTATTTTAGTGATCAATTTAAAAAAAAAAACTGATTTCGAGAATAAGTTGAAAAAAATTCTATAATTCCAATTTCAATATTATTTCAGATAAAGAATGATAACACACATAATAATGAGAACTACAAAATGTATTTATCAACATTATTTTAATAAAATAGTTAAAAAAAATAGTTTCAAAAAATATATTTTTAAAATTTTTAGATTAATTTTAAAATTTTATTCTTAAGGACAAGATTAAAAACTTATTTTATTATTGATAATATGAAAACTTTTTTAGATCAAGAAGATGATACAGATTTAAAAAATTATTATAAAGTTAGTAAGTAATTTCGACAATTTCATGATAATAAATGGAGAGATGTAGTGAACCATCTCAATAAAGATCCGTATGCATTAATAAAATAAAATAAAAATACATTTTATCAATATTTATTTTGTAATTTTAAAATTTTTAAAAATAAAGCCTATTTTTAATTTTTTTTAACAGAACAAATTTAAAAACTAAAAAATTGAAAACAGTAAATAAACTTCCTAATTCTTTTTAAGAAAAAATTTCAGTAAAAAACTTAATTAAAAAATATTGCTAAAAATGCTAGATTCCTCAGAATGATTTTTACAAATATTCATACAAAATATGGGATTAATATAATATTTTCGACCTAGGATTTTTTGAAAATTTTAAAAGAAATTCTCTATCAAACATTTCCTAATTGAGAGGAAACTGTTTATCAACTAAGGTTGAATTAGATTTCCTCAAATAATCAGGTTATGTTGCTTTTTCTTTTTATGTTTTAAAAATATTTATATTTAAGTATGGTTTATTTTATCTTAACGAAAGTTCTTTAATGATCATTTTTTTATTTTTTATTTTTACAGTTGTCACTTTGTATATTTTTTTTCTTAGAATATAAAAAAAATACATAACACATGATCAATTGGAACACTTGCTAATTTAATAATAGACGGACTAACTTGAACCAATTTAATTGTTGGTTTGAATTGTAAATCCATTAAATTAATTAAATCCAATGAATAAATGATTATGATAAAAAATCATTATATAATCGTGTAACTTTATAATTTAATTTTAATAATTCCCAAGTGATTCTATGATATTTACGTAATCTTTAACCTTTTCATACAAACACTTTTTTTTTACTAAATGTATGTAAATATATTTGTAGTTCTTATTAATATAATAAATGTTAGTCTTAATACTTCAAAGAAATAATAATTGATTATCCTCTTAAATTTAGTTATTTTAAAATATTACTTATTGATAGTGTGATACAATATATAACAACTAAAATTTACGTATAATAAATAATAAATATCCTCTTAAATCTAGCCATTTTATATTAATAATAACTTAAATTTAGGTATAATAAATATCCTTATCATTACAAATAATAACAATAACTTAAATTGAAGTATGGTGTAATATATGTTTATAAATAAAATATATTTTGTTTCTAATAAAAGATGAATTTTTACATGAAGAAATAGTTAGTTATTATATAAGAAAAATTCGATCATATTAGTAAAATTTAGTAATTATTTTCTTAAAACATGTTTAACATACTAGTTAAGATAAGTTAAAGCATATAAATAGTATTAAATGATAATAGAAGAAGTAGGAGTGATAATTATTTTTTATTGTGGAATATTAGGAGGAGGTTGAAAAGGTGTAGAACATATTTTATGGAATCGATGGTATGACTGGTGACACGATGGTGATCCCAAATACACAAATAAATATGTTGGAAAATGGCAAAACAATGAATTTTTGGGTTTAATATTTGACTGCTATCAAAACCACCTGCACCTGTTGACCTACACTCTTCTTCACCCTATAGGACTTGTAATTTGTCAAGCCTATACATTCACACTAGAATCAGAAAATCCAACCCTAAAAACCATGGAATAATACAAACTTCAAAAAAGATACCAAACTTTCAACCATTTGGGTGGTTCAACCCTTGAAGGTTCATACCCACCCAACTTTGCCAAATGTTTCCCCCACATTAAATAATTTTCAAAGTTGAGCTAACTATGATACAAAACGAGGAATCTACCGTTGATTGGCACCCCATCTACCTCATCCAAACTCTTAACCTCTTAATGTGCACCAATCTAAGTCCTTTCCCTAATTACACACACTTAATATCCAATCATAATTAAACCCTATTTCCACGTGTCCATTGCCGACTAATAACCTCAGCCATCAAAATTAGGCCACGTTCACAGCTCTAGAGAGAGAATAAAGGATAGAGAGTGTGTGCCAACCAAATTAAGTAGCCAACCAATAAAAACCACCTTTTATTAAAACACTTATTCAAAAGTGTCTTTATTCAATTACACACATATATAAGGCCACAATAGCCAACTCAAACGCATCACAATAACCCTTCACTTTTTTTCTTTCCAAATAAACTTAACATGGAGTGGCAAAGAGGCCACACCATAGGCCAGGGCTCGTCAGCCACCGTCTCCACCGCCACTTGCCGCACCGGTGGCGGTGTCTTTGCTGTGAAGTCATCGGAGCTGTCTCAATCAGAGTCTTTGAAAAGGGAGCAAAAAATTTTGTCCTCTCTAAGTAGTCCTTATGTGGTTGCGTACAAAGGGTGTGACATTACCATGGAGAACAACAGGCTCTTGTTCAACCTCTTCATGGAGTACATGCCCTTTGGCACGGTTGCTCAGGCGACTCACCGGCACGGTGCCCGGCTCGAGGAGGCGGCTTTGGCACGCTACACGAGGCAAATTTTGCAGGGGCTAGAGTACTTGCATTCAAAAGAACTGGTGCATTGTGACATCAAGGGTGCTAATATCTTAATTGGTGAAGATGGGGTAAAAATTGGTGACTTGGGGTGTGCCAAGACTGTGGTGGATTCCGCGGTGGTGATCGGTGGCACTCCGATGTTCATGGCGCCGGAGGTGGCGCGTGGGGAGGAGCAAGGGTGTGCTAGTGACATTTGGTCACTTGGGTGCACTGTGGTTGAAATGGCCACAGGTGGTGCACCATGGCCTAATGTGGAAGACCCTTTTTCAGTGCTTTATCATATCGCATATTCTAGTGAAGTGCCTGAGATTCCTTGTTTTCTATCTAAGGAAGCAAAGGATTTCTTGGGGAAGTGCTTGAGGAGGAATCCACAAGAGAGGTGGAGGGCTAGTGAACTTTTGAAGCACCCATTTATTGGAAAATTATGTTCCAATAATAAGGAAGGTTTGGAATCTGATTCAAGTTCCCCAACTAGTGTTCTTGAGCAAGGCTTTTGGAGCTCCGTGGAAGAGTCAGAAAGTGTTGGCAATTTGATTAACAGCACAAGAAAATTTGAATTTTTGGCTGCTGGGAGGGTCAGAATGTTGGCTCTGTCTTCTGGGGCACCCTGTTGGGCACAACATGATGATGATGATGATGATGATGATGATGATGATGATGATGAGAATTGGATCACAGCCAGACGGAACGGAGTGAAAGGTTTTGGCAATTGTGGGTCAGGGACAGTTTCTGCTAGTCATGAGTTGTCTCACTAGGAATGGGTGAAAAGCAATGTCAGTGGTAGAAATTAGTGGACATGGTTGTCAGGATCACAAATGTAGAGTTCTAGTGTTGTAGTTAGTGATCTCATTTTTGACCCAGGCATTGCTTAGAATTTGTTCCCATGACATTAGATTTTTGTTTATAATTCAATCGTTCAATATTTCATTCTCCCGTCTCTCAATCTCTCGTTAACTTTATACAACAAAAAATCAACAATATGTATATTCATATTACATTATACTTTTCCTTATTTTTCTTCTCTTCTTATTTTTGTTTGATATATACATCCTTAAAATTGAGTTGACTAAACTAGTTATTTGGTCTAATGTGAACAATTGGTCTATTATGATATATGACGTTTTTCTTTAATTTCATTCATAGAGTTAAATCGATTTATATACATAAATCCTTCTCAATTTATTCTCTGTCATGAGGTATATAATACGGGCTAAATTTCTGTCCTTGCATATCAGTTGCAAATTTTGTACATAAGAGTAGTAGCTGTATTAAGAGTAATTTCATATCTATTAATGTACAAACGTTTTTCACGTGAGAATAAAAATAAATACAATCGTGGAGAACAAAGGTTAAATATAAATATAATACCCGAGCTACATGAATAACATTTGAGGACACAACACTAGATAATTTTGGATTTATGTGTGTATCTTCCTGGAGGCATCCGAAGAGAATATAGTAGTAACTTTCGTTCAAAAGTAAGAAGATGAAAAATGGAGACTTTGTTGATTTGGTGGAAAAAGGTAATTAAGAGAGATAAAACAAGGTAGCATGGCTGGTCCCAAAATGTCTTGTGTGGTACATCTGAAAGAAGAAACAAACACAAAGCAAGGATAGCAATTTCCTAAAGACACCTAACCAACCCCATCATATCATACTGAATCTGGCTTCAACCAATCTTCTATTATTTGTGCTTGTTGATTCCAATGGACATGACATAGGGAACCATTTTGGCCACCCTTTGGAGCAATGTCTCTCATTGTCTTTGGTTGGTGCCTTTACTTCTTCTTTTTTTTTACCTTTTACATATTTCATAAATATTTTCTTCATCGTATTTTAAAATAATTTTTCTTCTTCCATCTATGATGAAGCTTGGAAAATATATTAAACAGTCTCTTTACTTTTTGAGATGGAGAAATTAATTACGGAAAGAGTACCTAAAAAGGTACCTCTTCAATCTGCAATCATGAAATTACACACTTCCTATTATCATCTCATTCTAATTCTGACAAATAGTTCTGCTACGATATATTTTGTTGCAATTTGTTTCCCTCGCATTTATTTTGCAAATAACACTATCTGGTAGAGTGGTTGGACTTTTAGATGAAAACATGATTAATTTTATGTATAAAGTTGAAAAAGTTCAATTTAGTATTTTCGCTATTTGACAGATATTCCTCTGACCACCACTTTTCGAATCACACAAAGTTAAAATCGTTCTTCTCCATTTAAACTAACAATTTTTTAATTTCTAATTAATATTAAAAGTAAAATGTAATTAATATTATAATTTCAGAATATTCTTATATTCAAACAGACATCAGTTTAATAAGATATCATCATCTAATACTTTTAATGAACATTTTAGATACCATATTATTACATTTTCAGTTAAATATTCATTTCAAACATATATTAGGGGCTGGTTTATTTAGTGTTTTTTTTTAATTTAAAAACATAAAAATTTGTTTGATAATGATTTTGTTAAAAAAATCAAATTATAATGATCAACTTTTTATTTCCATTGACAAAAATAAAACATTTTTATCAATAATTATATTAAGTTAATCATTTTTATTATCATAAACCTTTTTTAATTTTTATTATGATTATTTATGTAATTTTTTCACTTAAAATATTAAAAAAAATAAGTTATTAAATATTTTTTCAATTTAATTTAAAAATTAATCTTTAATATTATTTTTAGAAATAAAAAATTAAATTAAATCAAGCTAAATTAATATTAAGATGATAAAATGAATTAGTTAAATTTATCTCATTGTTAACCTTTCAAAATCAGGGTGAGTTGACTCGTATATTAAAAAAATCAAAACCTTTTCTATATTTTATTTGTATTCAGATTGAGAAGTTGATCAAACTATTAAAAAAAATATTTGAATAAATTTTATATTTGACAAATATTAAATATAAATTTTTAAAAATCTAAATTTATTACCTTAAATTTTGTATAATAATTTATTTAGTAAAGAGAAATTAAATAAAAACAAATATTAATAATAATAATTAAAAGAGAACAATGATGGAATAATTCGTTTCCAACTATTTTTTATCCCCTTATGGATACTAGGAAATTTTTAAGGAAATTATTAAAAAGAATGGTTTAAAAATAAAAATAAATATTTTATTATAAATCTCATATGTAAATTTATTAAAAATTAATCAAATTTATTTATATAAATATTTTTTTTAATTTTTAAAAAAAGTATTTAATTTTAAATCACTCACGTACAAAATTCATATTAAAATTTAATTTTAATTTTTAACCTACTATCTTCAACCACTCCACAAATAAAAATGGATCAAAATTGTTCCAGCAAAACCCTTTTTCTCATCCTTCATTTTTTTTCTCAATCCCGTTCCATTTCTTTCATTTGATCCCTTTGACCTGCAATTTTTTTTTTTTACATCAGCAAAATTACTCGTTTTTTTAATAGAGTAGTGTAACAATTGTAATATTTATACTAACAATTTATTATTTAGTATTAAGTGATTTCTTTTAGAAACACTTCAAAAATCAAGTTATGAGAGGACCAAACCCATTATCTATGACACAAAAATAAAATAAAGCTAAAATGATTTGAAAGATACCATCTTGAAAGCTCCATAACTACTTATATCAACAAAACTAGTTATATCTAATATCTATTTAAAAAAAATTGAACTTAAAAATATTTACGCGATTGAGTTTTGAATAAAATAAGTTGGAATGTAATAAAACATTCACTAAAACCCAAATATATATAAAAAAAATGAAAACATTTAAGAGGATATTCTTGCATTTGGACATTTTATGAAGTTGTAGTAAATATGTAACACTAATATGAATCAAAGTGTTGTATTGTCTATGACTCTATTTTTCAAGTGTTATCACGAAGGACACGACAAGTTTTGGTCTTGAAATGATGGCATGCTATTCAAGTTACATGCCTGCGTTGATTGAGAAGATAACAAAATCTAGAAATTGATTACGTGTGTAAAATGATGAGGTTTTTTTGGGGAACAAAGACACAAATACGAAATGTGATTTTCACAGGTTGAGGGAGCACACTTATTTGACCTGACATGCCAAATTAAATTATTTCAACCAACAAATTAACATATTCTTCTAATATTTACTATATTTGGTTCATCATAATTAGTTTATGTCACTTTCTAGTGAGATGATTAAAAACTTCGTACCCCAATGGAATTTGGTTGGTTCAGACAGTTGAAATTTGTCCACAAGTTCTATAGAACAACAAAATCAAAGCACCAAAAAAAAAGGGAAAAAAATATATCTATACTTCTAATCTAAACCTTTCTTATTCTCTGTCTCCTTTTTGGGCCTTTTGATCTCACCATGGTTTTGTGACTAATTTGAGTCATTTTGGTGTATATATGAATGAACCATGGGCTTCTCAAGCATTTGAAGTGGTGCTTTTGAGTTTCATTCATTTGGGTTTACACTTAATGAACTTGTCTATAATTATTCTCACTAACTAATATTAAAAAAAAGAAACAAAAAACTTGTATCTATTATTACTATCTATGTTTTTGGCATAGGAAAAGATGATAAAAAATGGTGACAGGCCACACAAAATTGGGCTTTTGAAAGTGCATGAACCTACCTAAGAAGGAGCCCACTCACCAAACCATACCACATGATGACATGTTAGATGTGTGGGGTTCTTGGTTCTTTTCTCAATGTTCAGGTTCCATAATACTTGAAGTGAATGAACCAATGACACTTTCATATTACATGTTTGGTTTTGTTGCTAAAGAGAAAAAAAAAATGTCATTTCAATTAAATTTCAAAACTTTTTAAGTAAATTAATTCAAGTATATTAACTTTTTATTTGTTAAGAGGAAATACACAAATAGAAAATCTATTTTCCACCTAGCAAAACACAAATTCAGACAACTCATTTAAATATGTTGAAAATTACATGGATCATGATGGAAGATCGATGTTGCGGTGAAAATGACCTCTCAGGAAAAATATATATCGTTGATGACAATGGTTTTCTGTTCATGTTATTGTATGTTATAGGGTAAATTACATTATAATTTGTGTAATTAGAAGTACTCTTTCAAATTAAGTAAATTCATTATAATTTGTGAAACTTGGGTTCTTGAAACTAAGGTTACAGGGGAGTAAGTGCGTGCTTGGTCGCGTTGATAACAGTGATAAGCATTAATACGAGAGACACAAGAACAGAGAGAGATGATAAGACAAACATGATGGCGTGAGCCATGATTCCCTTAACTTCATGAGCATACTCAACCGAAGCCAGTGCCAAAGCCGTAAGAGGAAACGAATAAGCCCACCATGCCACGTTGAACTTCTTCATCGACTTCTTAAATAGCATAGGCCTTGAAACCTGTTTGTTCAAAAACACAGAACAAAAGTGAATTGTCCTATAGTCATATTATATCCATCAAATTGCAAGTTGTAACAACTTAGATGATAGTCAACTTATCAATAGGGTTAGAGGGACCAGCTTACTTTCTAGTGGAATGCAACTTAGATACTAGAACACGACAAGTCAAATAAATCAAGGATGAGAATACCATGAAACGTAAACAATTTGACTACATCAGTACAATGTTTGGACCAATATATTCGTTGATAAACTTGGACTCACCTACCTACTGCTAAGAAATATTGTTAGATTTGCAATTTTGTTTTCATGTCATTATTTTTTCCTGTCCATAAACACTAACTGTAATGTGATTCTGATCCATCAAATTTCCATACATGATAGGGATGAAATGAGCTTTTAAATGTCTTTAGGACTTAGTTCTGCATTTAAGGTATATATATGTTTCTTTAGTTAGGACTTCCAAGCAAAATAGTAACACCTTAAATTTCTTTTTCTGTCAATTCTTTTCCTTCCCCTTGATAACTTAAAAAAGAGAAACTAAATTACGATTAAACTATTCATTAGTCTTTATAGATGTTGTTTTGTCTTAAGTCATTAGAGTTTTTTGTGATGGTTTATAACAGTTGAAAAATTTTTGTAGCTTGTTTATACTGTCAAAAAGGTTTTTTCTGAAGTTCACGAATATCAATAGAAGCATAACTTCGAAGTTTAAACTCAAATTACCAGGGACAAGAAAAGGAAGAAAGAGAGGAAGAACAAAATCTTGCATGTGGTGTCAAACTTGCCACAAATGGAGTTCCAAGCCAAGCTTGCCATGCTTGGTGCTGCAAAGAACAAGAAGAACACTGGACGCAGCATTGAAGGGATGTTATTGTTCCCTGCTAATCGCTGATACAGTGTCACAAAAAGCACCAAGTAATGAACAATACCCAAAGAAAACATGCACAGTGCACTCTCCTTCCAACCCATTTGTGCAGCAGCTTGTGCACCCACCAAGTTTCCAATCACAGACAACTGACTTGTTGGGTTTGCTCCAATTGACAAAAACCTCTTCCCTTTTGTAAACCACTGGCCATAAATCTTCACATCAAGCATCACCACTGGCACAACAAACACCCACCAAAGTATTTTGTAAAGAAGTGTTGTTGGGGAGAGGAATGGTGATGATTCTAGCAAAATGAGCCAAGAAATCCAGGGGACAAATAGGTAATTTACCCCCACGTAGTTTAAGAATTCATCCTTAACCATGTCAAAGTGTAAAAGACATTTTAGAATGTAGAGAAAAGAGAGTGTGGCTAGTGCGAACAAGGCCAGGAACCATAGGAGAGTGTGGACAGAAGAGGGTATGGATGAAAACAAACGTCTGAGAGCATGTGCATCTTGGATTGGTTCAATGAGGATCTTCAATAGAAAAGCTTGGCTTGTGAGAGACAAACTGATCCTAAAGTACCCTGCATGGAATTTTGTCAGAATAGAGGACAAACATTGGATTTGGAAGCAATTGGATTGAGTTCTGGTAATGGAAACATCTATTGGTAACTCTACATGGGGTTGTGGATGTTGTTTCTCTTTGTCATCCATTTCAACCTTTGGAACAAGGATCCTTTTTAATGTGGTTTCTGAGAACAGAGAGCTGTATTTATAGGGTGGCTTAATCACCATCAAACTTTTCAAAACTATGCAACTATTTTTTTTAGTAGATTTCAATCTCTAAGAATTGGATTACTACTAAAACATATTTTCTTTTTCAAGTGAATTAAGTATAATAAGATATTTTCTGTAAAAAAACAAAATAATAAGGTATCTTAACACATTTTCATTAATAAAATAAAATTTTGTCAACTTAATTAATTTTCTTTTTATATTATAGTATTAGTGAACAGTATTTTTAATAACTATTTTTTTTCACAATAATCTTATTAATACCCAAATGGATAATTTGGGTATTATATTTTTATTTTCAGAATGTAAACTAGTATTATAATTAATCATGAAATAATTTAGTTGATTCTACATTATTTTAGCCTCACCATGAAAGTACCTTCCACTTCATTCTAGTGTATTAATTCATCAATCAGTGTTCAAAGCTAAAACAAAAAGTTAGAAAACAAACCTTTCTTTTCTTTTGAGAATTTGTAACAAACATTTCATCATCAAAACCAAGAACATAAATTATTATTTCATCAACTAGATCGATTTTTTTTTTTTAATCATCCTCGTCTCTCATCATCAATTGGTAGTTAAAAAGGGTGAAACCAATGTCAGTGTCATCACCACCACTGCATTTTTTTACTCTGTTTCTTCTAGGCTTAAGCCTAAGCTTGTTCCTAAAGTTTGTGTCATTTACAGCTATACACGCTATATTAAGGGGACCACAATAATATATTATGTTCGTTTACGAATTGTTTGTTTGTTAAGCGTGAATTCATGCAGAAAGACAAAAGGAAAAGAAAAAACATGGTGAGGAATAAGAGTCTGGTACACTGAATGTACAAAGAAATATGTAAAGTCTAGGAGATAATATGAACAATAATTTTCATTCTAAATTGTGAAGAAACACGTAGAAATGAATTATAAATATCAATAATTAGCTTTTTTTTTTTTTTTACTCTCTTTTTTCTATTTAACCACATGACTTTTATTTTATTTGCCCTTTGTTTTCTCTTTCACTATTTTTTTTCCACCAAACAAAACATTATTCTTGATCTGAAATCCTTAGACAATATTATATATTTTATTTGTTTATAAAATTTATCCAGGTTTTACTTATCTTCGTGTGAATTATTCTTCATAATTGTTTTGAAAAATCTGATTGATAACAATGGAACAAGTGTTGTCCTTTTTGGGTAATAAAAGTCTGATAGAAGTGTCACTTTCTGCAGTAGAATTTGAGGTGTCTTCTGGTTGTCTTGTAGTTTTCGAGAGTTCAATTAAGCATGAATTATTAGAAGCTCCAACACCCGTAAAAAGATGAAAGCATTATTTTGAAACAACCAACAGCTAAAAAGACATGACTTTTATTCTTGACTCTTTCAAGTTTGTATATTTATAACCAAACGAATGATGGAGTTTGCAGTTTGGGGATCATATTGCATAGTTTGCAGTGTAGCATAGCCCCTTACAAAGCGAAACTTACCAGTACCAGACACCACTGAGAGTTCCCTTAAATTCTCACGTTGACGACTAATACCTTGGAGCTCCAAGGTGCTACCTTTGTACTGCGAATTGTTGAACACAATTGAAATAGCCACATTCACATTAGACCCATCATGGGCCGAAACTACGAGTACACCTTGAGCCCGACCCACTAATTCAGAGGTTGGGCTTGGGCTCAACAGAACAGGGTCATCAACCACGAATATGGTTCCAAATGTGTTGTAGGACCAATCCTTTCCTTTGATTCCAGTCACTGTAGCCACTGTGGCATTAGACCCTTTTGCTATGTCTTGCAGGTAGAACACCAACGTTGTTTGATGAGGCACAGGTTGAGGTAATTGAGCAAAAGCTTCATAAACCATTGTCATGGATATCATGAGCATTGAAAGGGACAAGAGCTTTGTTGGGGTTGAAAATGATGGTGTCATTTTCTTTGAGTGGCGTAGGATCTGAAAAATTAATGTTGGTGAATTTGGTTTGCGTAATTGGCTGGAATTTATAAAAGTACAAGAAGCAAAAAACGCGGTTAAAACATGATACGAAGTGGTTTCTTACGCGTTAATATATGTTTTGTTGTAAGCTTGGGTGTGATCTTTCACGTGAGTGTTAGTGACTCGATGAATAAATTAGAAAAAAAAAAGAATAAAGTTAACAGTTTTTAAGGAAAAAGTTTAGTATAAAACAAAATCAGTTATGAAAAGCTGGCAGTTAAAAAGGGAGGTTTCAAAATGATGTTTAATGTGGATTGACTGAACTGGTTATGATCCATGACAATGATGAATGCTTTTGTTTCCTTCATGAATTTGAGAAAAATGGCGTTTGGTTTAGGTTATAAATGTGATGATTGTGATGGGTATGTGTAGGTCACACGGACACGAGTTTGCACATTTTTTTTAATTTTAAAAAAAATCAAGTTATTTCAAGTCCCTTGCACCATATATAATAAATTCGTTAAAATGTTTGGTTAAATTAAATATATTTCATATCATTTTAACCCCAAATATATATATATATATATATATATATATATATATATATATATATATATATATATATATATATATATCATTGATGAGTTTCTCTTTATATTTTGAAAAGATGTCTTACACTAAGTACTTTAGAAATGATAAATATGAATAAAAACACTATATGTTTGGTGAATAAACAATGAGCATAAAATTGGATATTGAAATTTAAATATAGCTATATGCATTTAATCACGATTTTAATATCTAATTTTATGGATTTCTAATATTAAACTTGATTAATTTTAATTTTAACTTTAACATATTAATTAACATCTAATCCTAATTTTGTTTATGTATACTACTATTCCTTTTTTTCTCATAATTGTTTTTATCTTTCATTATTTTCATCACAGAAAATTATTCAGATACTTATAAATTTATTATAAAATAATAATTAATTTTATTATATTAAAAAAAATATCAGATAAAAAATGTCTCTAAAATTTATCCTTAAATAAATAGATAATTTCTTTTATTTATTTATATATGTAATAAATAAAATGTACATTCCTATTATTAATCTTTGTTATTATTAATTATTACCATATATATAAATCAATATAATGGATAACTATCATCTTACCCCAATCACTTTCCTTCATTATTTATTATAACTTTCACTGTGTGAACCCTCTTTTTAACCACCACTTACGACCTTCTTCTTTTACTAAAATGTATACCTTTATCAATTTTGACTGTTAATTAGAGATATCAATTCTTTGATTATTTAAATTATAAATTTATTTGAACAGTTTTTTCATAAAAATATTTTAATAAAGAAATACAAGAAAAAAAAGTGAAACTACCTTCACTAGTTAATTTATAATTTAATATGTAAATATTTGCTGGGTTATATATATTGAAATAGTGCTAGTTAGTTTGATTCAGATTCAAGCATTCTCATGAGTAATCGTGTTTTTTTTTTTTACCTAAATAAAGATGATTAATTCATAAATAACCATTAATTAAGCACACATTTTATTTATTATTAGATTTGAAAATGTTATCAAGAGGATCTCAAAGTTAAAGTCAAACGAATAACAGAATGTGCCGTTGCAGAATCGTAGAGCAGAGTTTGCAACGAAGCATAGCCTCTCACAAACCGAAACTTCCCCGTTCCAGACACCACCGAAAGCTCTTTATAATTCTCACGTTGCCGACTAACTCCTTGGATCTCTAACGTGCTTCCACTGTACTCCAAGTTCGTGAACACAAGTGAAAGAAGCGCGTTCACGTTAGCACCATCCTGGGCCGACACTACAAGCACGCCTTGGGCCCGGCCCACTTGGGTGGACATTGGGTTTGGGCCCATCATTAGAGGGTCATCCACTGCAAGTATGGTTCCGAATTGGTCGTAGGTCCAATCCTTTCCGGTGAGGCCCGTGACCGGGGAAACGGTTGCTCCGGGTCCCTTTGCTATGTCTTGGAGGTAGAAAGTCAAAGTTGTTGGAACATTGAATTGAGCATTAGCTTCGTGAAGCATCGTTGTGGATATCAAAAGTACAAATGAGAACGACAAGAATTTGCAGGGTGCCATTTTATGGTCTGAGATGAATTTGGATTGTAAATTTGGATGAGATTTATAGCACCAAGATACAATGTTAGGTCATTAGTTTAATGGTTTCTTACGCGTTAAAAACATGTTCTCATTTTTCATGTGAGTGTGAGTAGTTATATATATGCTTAAAGTGGATAATAATAAGGTTGAAACTTCACTATATAAACCCCCCCTCTTACAAGGAAATGAAAAGTATAAGCAAAAAAAATGAAAAGGAACGTTAAAGGTTCTGTTTTTCCTCTTGCCAAACTGTTCATAATTCGAAGAAACCCATGTTACATTAAGGAAATCGTGTTTGTTTCAAACAAACTAACGTCTATCACATGATGATTGTTAGAAGAATATGTAAGGTTGTGTAGTTATTGATCAATGTTGTTTAAAATAATTACATATACGATAATAAAGAAACAATAAAAAATGTAAATAGAAAACAAAACTTAAAAATTGTAATACTTGAATAGAATATTGAAATATAACAGTAAAAATATTTTAATTTAGAGAATAAATATTGTTATTTCATTACCTTAATTGTCGTGTATGTAGTATAACTTACTCAAAGAATATAATTTAATGATTTATTTGGACATACATTTTTTATGAGTATGGTCTAATTTGGTAGTGGGTAGATTAATTATAGTTTTGTTATGAAAAAGTATTTTAATGAATTAAAAAAATAACTTTTTAATATTTTTAAAATTTTATTTTTAGATGATGTTGAATTTTTTAATATAGTGAACATGTTTTGTATATGAAAAGTAAGAAATAAGAATAATATAGATCTTCCATTTAATTCAAACTTTGTTTTGAAAAATCTCAGAACTACGGAACAATTTCTGCATTCAAATGAAATAAGTTTTTGACCGTTATTGATGTAACTTGACCACTTAGTTTTCAGCCATTACCTTTAAAATAGATTTGCATTTTCTAAGGAAAAAAGAATAAAATAAATTGCTTCAAACTCTAATTATTTATCTTTTCTCTCTTTTTTTTTTGTTTTTTTCAAAAGATTCCATACACTAACTAGCTAGAAAGGAAAATGTAACAAACAAAAAAAAAACTATTATTGCAACAATCTGAATGTCTTTTTAAAATTGAAATCGCAATTCTAAAATCTATTTTATAGATTTTTTTATATATTAAAATTGATATTTTTTTTAATTGCGAATTAATTTTTAACCTACAATTGTTCTTTTTATTTTTTTATATTATCGCTGTTATTTCAATTATTATTATCATTAATAACTTTTTTTATTTACTTCATGGTCAGCATAACCACCACTTCTTTCTAAGATTGTTAGTTCTAACTATTATTAATCATAATGAATTCTATAGTTATTAAAGATGTGAAATAGAGTTCCAATTAACTTAAAACTTTAAATTATATAATAAATTATGTATATACAACCCAAACGTCAAAACTATATTGTAAATTTATTTAAATTCCAAACACATCAATTTATTTTAAATGTAGTTTACATTTATTTTTTTCATATATTAGTAAGAGATATAAAATTGATTTAGTGAGCAATGAATTGGAATTGATTAAGAATAAGTAATAAATCAGAGTTAAGTATTAGTAGATATTAATTAACAAGGAAAATGTGTATTATTAGATAGTAAAATATTGTGAAGACTATTGGAAAGTTATAGTGAAACAGATGATGGAGTGTGCAGTTTTTGGATCATAGAATGAAGTCTCAAATGCAGCGTAGCCCCTTACAAATCGAAATTTGCCAGTCCCAGACACCACAGAGAGTTCTCTATATCTCTCACGTTGACGAATAACACCTTGGATCTGTATGCTACTACCACTGTACTGCAAATTCGTGAAAACAATTGAAAGCGAAGCATATACATCAGCCCCATCGTGGGCCGACACTACCATCAGGCCTTGGATCTGGCCCACTTCAGCAGACATTGGGCTTGGGCTCAGCATGACAGGGTCGTCCACCGCAAATATGGTTCCGAATTGGTCGAAGGACCAATCCTTTCCGGTGAGGCCAATTATTGGGGAAACGGTTGCATTGGGTCCCTTTGCTGTGTCTTGGAGGTAGAAAATCATGGTTTTTGGAAGAGGCTCTTCAGCTTCGGCTTTGTAAAGCACTGTTGTGGATAGCAAGAGTAATGAGAAGGAGAAGAATTTGGATGGTGCCATGTGTTTCGATTTAGATGAATTTGGATTATGAAATTGGATGGATTTATAGCACTATGCTAAAAATTACGTTTAAAGCAGAGGTTATTAGTTTAATGATTTCTTGTGCCATGAATCATGTGAGTCAAGTGAATGGTGATAAGGAGGGTAAAAAGAGCATTGGAGGCTCTATCACGTGAAATGGATGAAATGTGCTTGAGCTTACTAGTAACTGTAAAAACGTAATGATTGTCAGATATGTGTAAGACCTTGTGTGCTCGTTCTGATTAAGAAACGGCAGAATGGACATGTGTGTTTGATTCCCTTTTCACGTTTTGGTTTGAGAAACTGTTTTCTTTTCTGCAAAAAAACAAGACAGTTTTGAAAACATGTTTTAAAAACCAAAAAACAGAATTAGCCCTGATTTTAACAAAATGATAGTGTTTGCAGTCCTCTGTTTTCGATAATACAGTGTTTTTTTTACTAGAACTCGAACAAATGGGTGAAAAGGTAATTAGCTTTTCAATATCAAAATCATGATCTTAGTCCAAAAGTCTACAATTATGCACTTCCTGTCCCTGTTTTATATAGCATGATCCTCCTCCAGCACGTTTTTTGCTTTATTTATAAACTTTTAGAAAGTAAAAATAGTTTTCTTACATACAGATAAGACTTCTTTCAACCTTGATCTTATACAATAAAGTATTTTAAAATGTTGTTTAAAATTAAATAGTCAGAAATAAAATAAACATTATTTTTCCTTGAAGGACATTTGGGACTGAAAAAATAAATTAAATCCAACAGTAATATTTAAATGGAGCAAATCCACCTCCATAATAATTTCATAAATAGAAAAGAGCCAAGGAGTAAAGACACAATGCGCTGGAGGAACAAATGGGATTAGTCCATTGCTACAGTAGCCTCTGTGTTTCGATTACCAGAAAAATTTTTAATTGTTGATCTTAATCCTTCATCTCCGGTAACAGTAGTGGTTTTCTAAGTTATGAATATAACAACTCAAAACTAACCTAAGGAACTAATTATCCGTTCCTACATGATCATCTTACCATTCTGAAGAATACGGCTATAGGCTGATCAAATCACCTATACTTAATAATATATGAGAGGATCTTAAAGAGCATTAAGTTCACTCAATCCACAAAATTAATCTGTCTTCAAACACTTAGTATATACAAGTGTGACCACATTAAGAGAGTATGTGGCATTCAAACAGGAGTTACACACAAAGGAAAATGTTTTCTTTAGATATTTCAACAAACACATTCTTTTTATAATCAGGATTGCTTAGAGCTCTGGTCAATGGCCTGCAACTGACTCCGAAGACTCTGGTTGTCTTCCAAGAGGCGATCATATTCCATAAGGAACCCGTCAGACTGCTTCTTAAGAGCCTCTACTTCAGTTTCCAAAGTCTTGGCCACATTTCCTTTTTCCTCACATTCAGATTCCAGTTTCTTAATTTTGGACTTCAATGTGGCAATTTCTACAGTCAATGCTTTTTGTTCCACTGTATTACCATTTTTGCTTTCTTCAAAACTTCGGCTTTGTTTCTTAATAGCTTCCATGGTCTTCCTGAGTAAGCGAAGCTCTCTTATGTAGTGGTGCAATCTATCAATCATCAGAGAGAGGAACAGTAAAAACCCTGCACAGATTATATGAAAAAATATCAAATTCAACAACTAAAATATATATGAATCAAAAAAGACTAAAGGAAATATATAAAAATACAACTCACACAACACTCATGGAACAGAAACAGCAAAACCATACCCAGCAAGATAGAAAATCTAAATATGGCGAATCTTGAAATAGTAGTTCATCAAAAAGGCAAAAATGACAACTATAAAACCAAACTTTGAAGCAACTGCCATATTAGATCTAATACATTGAACCTTCTTAAAGTGTGTATGCATAAAACAATACACTGTAACAATTTAATAGTTTTAAAGGAAAATAAGAAAATAAAGTAAAAGATAATAATTAACCATAATACACCCATTTGTAATAAAACGGGTGCCCCTGCTGCAACTTCTTTTTTCAACATTAATATCGTGTGATGTAGGGATGGCAAAATGGGCTAGGTCCGGCGGGGCCGGTTGGTGTTTTCAGCCCACCAGCCCGCTTTGGCCCGCCCCGCCAACCCGTCGGGTCAACCCGCGGGACGGGCGGGCAAGCCTGCAGCCCGCCTAATTAATAAATTTTTTTTTATTGTAATAAAATTAATTATAAAGATAATATATAAAGTTAAAAATTTTAAACGAGATAATTAAAAAAGTTTCATTCTCACAGAAAACATTCTCCTTCCTGAAATATAACCTTCTCTCCTGTTTTCCTTATTTATCCTAAGCACTGATTATATTTATCCTTATTACTTGAATTAAAGGTATAAGAATTACTCAACCAAGAATAATATGAAGTTTTATCAAATAAAAAAGATATAGGTATTTGAATTTTTCAATATAAAAAATATAAATTTTATAAGTTTAACATTATATATATATATATATATATATATATATATATATTGTTATTATTTATTATTATGTAAATTTTATTATTGTTCTAAATTATAATTTCTTAAAATAATGTATTGATTTATATTATTAAATTGAAATAATATATATATATATATATATATATATATATATATTGAATTATTGACAAACAAATAATAATCTTATTATTAAATTTATTAAAAAAAATGATTTAAAAAAATTATTTTTTCTAAATTATGACGGGTCAGCCCGCTCCTTGGCGGGACGGGTCAAGGTCTACGATCCGTCATGACTATATCGGGCCAGCCCGCCCCGCCCCGCTTTTGGCGGGCCAAAACGGGGCAGGCTGACCCGTTTTACCATCCCTAGTGTGATGTTGTTATTTATAGTTCAAAGTCTTTAATTTTATCCCCATTTTTTTATAATACTATTCTTTCTCACTGTACAAAAATTTTAGGTCCATCACGGTTAATCAAATACGTATGCCAAGGTGGTATTTATTATCATACACAGATATGAGAAAATAGGATAGAAGTAGATCATAGAATTCATGCAAGGTTGTTGCATTGGAGAAAATGTTTCAAGTGTTATTTGTGATTGACAGGTATGTTAGGTGCCTCTTTAACTCAAAAGGAAAATTTTAAGAAACAGCCATAAGACAAGCAATGCTCTTGTGGTATGGGATGTTGGGCTGGGTGAGCATAACCTAAATGTAGCATAGATGAAATTTCTGTTGTACATAGAAGGACATATAAGGAAATAAGAAATTATGACTGATTGTATTAGAAGGAATGTAGAAGCAAGTCTTATCAACGAAGAGATGGCAGAGTCTCAGATAAGACGGTTTGGCCACGTGATGAGATGACCACCAGAAGCCCCTATAAGAGTTGGTCATATGGAAGAATGCATCGTAAACAGAGATACAAGAAGATCAACAAAAGTCAATAACACTAAGGGTATGTTAGATAAGAGACTTAGGGAGGACGGGAATGCCAAAAGGGGTTATCGTTAGCCTTTTACTTATTTGGATGTCTTTTAAAATACTTCCCCTAATCTGAAAGGAAATAGAGATTTTTCACATCCCTCCAAGATAACCCTGTCTTACCTAATTTTGAGTTCCCATAAATTTGGGGAGGGGTTTAAAAGGGTATAAAGTGTATATTAGGTTAACTAAACAGATTTTTATTAAAAAGGTAAATTAAGATGTAAGATTTGTACGACTTTAAATCATTTAAATTTACCAGGACCTCTGATTCCTTCTACAGTAAATTGGAGACATCCGAACAACTGTAAGGGTCTACATTTCATTTCCATGATATTCTTCCCCTTGATCCCTTTCATCTCCATTTGCGTCTTAACTCCTAATCACCCAAATAAGCTAGATTTTGACAAAACATAATGGGTACTTTAGCTGACTTACCTAGTGGGAAAAGGCTCTTGCTGATGTTTGAAACATTTATGAAAAGAACAAAACAATGCCAATCAATCTAGTCATTGATACAATCAAATAATATTACGTCTTCCACAAAGAAGAAAATGGTACTCATGCTTATGATCTTATCAATAGCATCATATAGCAAACAAATGTGCTGATTCTAATTATATCACAACGCTACAGACTACCACGGTCAACATGCCATCACTTCATCATTCAGATATCCAGTTTGAAAACATTATCATGAAACAAACAAATAACAGAGTTCGACAACAAAACCATATCACTTTCATGTTCCTTCATCCCTCTTTTCATTCTAATCTCTTTATAAGAATAATTTGAACTTAACATCTGATAATTCAAATTCAAATAGACAATTACCAAGTAGACAAGGATATTTCTCCCTCACTGTCACTGCAAATACTCTTAAAATTTCAAGCAATCAATTATATGAGGCATGCTGATGAACATTTCAGTGACAGGAGCTCAAGTACCACATCCACATCCCCTTTCCTAAGACACGCTAAACCACCCTTACCCAAAATACAAACCCGTTGACATGAAATTTTAAAACAACCAGCCCAATAATACTGAATCATTCTTCGCTAATTACTAAATCAGATTCGAAGTAAGTGAAACTCGCGTGCACCATTTGTCCCGTTTGTCAGACCAATGTAAAACGGTAAATAGCACTGAAGAACCAATATGTAAACAGACATCAATATTAAACCTAGAAACACATAGAATACTTTCTAAATAAAAAAACTAAATATCAAATATTGTTCAGATATAAAGATATAGAGGCCAAGTGAGGAAGCAATTAATCCAAAAAAAGCAACACATTTAAATTTCCTCAAAATTCACCTACCACTGTAACCAAATATATGGACGGTAATACCAGCACAGAGAAAGTTAGCACAAAATTCACCAATCAGTAGATCCATAAATCAATTCGTAGCTAAGTAATTAGTCCTCCGTGGTATCTCCCTATCTCCACAATCGACTAAAAATAAAGCTCAAACAATTTAACATAAACCCACAAACCCAAGAAAAGAGGGGTTTGGGTTTAGAAACAAGGGTTTTTTGAGAGATACCCATGAGAGAAGCTTCGAGCATGTGCTTGGACATGAGGACTTGGTCGGTGGGGTTGAGCATACCGGCCTCGAGGGTGCGTTGCTGGATCTTGGCCATGCTGTAGAGGCTGGAAGAGAGAACCACCACCAATGTGGCGCCCACGGTGGACACCACGACGGGGCCACGACCGCGCTTGACCCGATCAAGGGAAACGATAACGAGTTTTCTGAGTGGAGTCTTGAAAACGAGGGTGAGAATCAGAAGCATTTCGCTGAAAATCGCAGTGTAGAGTAGCTGCAACATTTTGTTCTAAGCACCTTGGATTACTGGCAGAAGAGTCTCCAATTAGGAATGGAAGAGAAGGGAAGGGTCAGAAGAGAAGAAGAGAAAAAGCGTGTCGGTTCAGTCAGGTCTGCGCTGGTCCAATGAGGCAGCACCTCTTACATGTGTTTGAAATTTTCTGTATTCCAAACTTGATTTTTAATTTCAATACACACCTACCTAAAAAAATACATACAATAGAAAATTCTAATTATTAATATTATATTTATAAAGTGATTAAAGTAAAATAAACTTAATTAAAAACTATTTTGACACCTACATGAAAAATATTTATATTAAATAATTCCATTTATTAATATTATATTTATAAAGTGATTAAATTAAAATAAAATTTATGATTTTATTATTAAATTAAAGTTGTTGTTGTCTTATATGGAAAAACAGTCAAACAATCATTTTCCTCTCAATATTGTTACACGCATCAAACATATTATATTTTTTACTCAAAATCAATCACAATTCACAATTTAAGTTTTTTTAAGAAAATTTACGAAAATTATTTTCATAGGTACTTTGATATAAAGATTAGATAATATGTTTTTAGTTTATATATTATAAAACTTATAATATAATTTATGATTATAATATTATTTTTATTAATACTATTATTATTATTATTATTATTATTATTTTAGTATTAATAAAAAAATAATACTAATAAAAATAATATAATAGTTATTAATTTTATTAATATTTCAAACTTAAATATTATTATTATTATTGATTATAAAATTTAATAATTATTATAATGTAAAACTAAAAGTTGTAAATTTAGTTTGACTTTTATATCATGTTTATATACAAACCTTATTATTATTTAATACGATTTGTTCCTACAGCTAAATAAATAAATAAATTTATTAGATCAACAATTTTTCTAAATCTTTTTTTTTTTAATTCTAACGTAAAACAAAAAAAAAAACCACAGTTTAACAACTAAATGAAATAAAGTTAAAAAACTATAAAAAAAGAAGAAGAAGTGTATTGTATAAATTTACTTTTCAATCATTCTCCATCTTACATAACCCATTTTTCTTTTGTTATGTCTCAATAAATCCACCAAATAAATTTTAAAGGTGCTTTCAATAAACTAATCAATATACTTTTCTCCTTAGGAAAAAAAAACATATATTTTATTATTTTAAATAAATATTAATTTTAATTTGACCAAATCATTCTATTACTCGATTTCTTTTTAGCTTATAATATAAGCAGAAAACAAGCACAAATAATGATAGAAAATATGTTTTTATAATAGTTTCTTTATAAAATGATTTACAAATTTTACTGTTAAACTTTTTAACTGTGTCACTTTTTTTTTAAGATGAATTAATTTTTAAAAATTAACTATTTTATCGCCTCTAGCTTCTGTTTATTGAAACTAGGAAATAAACAAGTTTTAATTCAGATAATTTTTCAATTAAGTTTTAACTATAATTACAGTGATCATTCAATAATAAAAATTATATCAATTTTTATCATATATCTTTCACATATTAATTTTATAAAAATACTTGTAAGATATTATTGATTATAAGTTATATTTTTAATATTAGTTCAAATATGTAAATACATGAGAAATATAAATATTCAGAAAAAAATACCAGAAATGTGAACATGTAATAAATATAAAGTGTAGGGGTATAAATTAAGAAAGATAAAAGAGAAACTGATAAATAAAAGTGATCAGTCAAATTATAAAAAATTTCATTAAATTTGAACTAGTTTTTTTCTTGTTTTATAATGTCTTTTTAAAGTGTAAATATATTAATATAATTTATTTCTAATTACACTTATTATATCTTATTTATATTTTATCTTATATAACAACTAAAAAAATAAAATAAAAACATTTTTCTTTTTTATTAATATTTTCATTTTTTTCTTGAATAATTTCATTATCATAAATAATATTTCTAATCGTTTATGTCATTTAACTTACGATGTTATAATCGTTCTTCAATGTTTTCAATTTTATAACTTATTTTTTATATTTTATTTATATTTCTGTTTCTTCTAAATCTTCAATTTTGATCATTGTATCATTGTCTTGAATTTCTTTTTATCATTATGAATCTTCCATTCATTTGATTTTTCTATTTTTCTCTTATCACCTTATATTTTCTCTATTTTCCTTTCCATAAGTGGGAATCCTAGATCCTCTTTAAACTCTGATATTTTTTTATATTTGAATGGAAGTTCTCTCTTATTGCCATACATTTCGTATTTTTTTATATTTCAATGGAATTTCTTTTGTTCTTTAAATTCTATAATATTTTGCCACATCAATTAATTGGGTGTTATTTGCAACTTCTCTCAAAATTCTGATAATAACTTCTAAAGTATTCATATTATACCCTTAACACATTTTGTGTGACTTCTTCCTCAAAACAAATTGAATGCAAGGTGCTGGATAGAAACAGATAAAGACATAATCTATAAATGGAAAAGATTGTAATGTAATGACAAAACTCTGTATTAATTATTAAACCAGAAGTTAGAAAATAAATGATTATTTATATGTAGATAATTGTGTGGTCTCTCAATAATACAAGTAAAGCCATTGTTACAAACATAAATTGAGAACTTTTGAGTGGACAATGCCACTAATCAACATGGATCTGCTAATGTTACAGAACTGTTCTCTACTAATTGAAACAATTTTTGAAAAATAAACAACTCATTTGGAGGAACATCCAAAGACAGAGAAAGTTGGGTAAAGCTTCTTAACATCATGCATGCTGCATGCATGCTTAATGTCTACCCCCACCTCCTCCAACACCAACACCAGAACCACTGCCTTTACCAGCACCACCTCCAACCCCAACTCCTACTCCAATGCCAATTCCAATACCAATCCCTCCACCGCTGCCACCACCTCCGCCTAAACCTGCCCCACCACCACCCCCTACACCACCACCTGCACCAAACCCTCCGCCATGACCCGAACCTCCACCTATTCCACCTCCTCCTCCACCACCTCCTCCTCCTCCCCCTCCTCCACCTATTCCTACACCCCCTACGCCACCTCCTGCTCCAAACCCACCACCATGACCTGAACCTCCACCTACTCCTCCACCTCCTCCACTACCACCTCCACCACCACCACCACCAATTCCTCCACCAACACCACCTCCTACACCGCCACCACCACCAAATCCTCCACCTTGTCCAGAACCTCCACCTAAACCACCTCCACCTCCTCCCCCTCCCCCTCCACCTCCACCTGCTCCACCACCTATGCCTCCACCAACACCACCTCCTGCTCCAAAGCCTCCACCATGTCCGGAGCCACCACCCAATCCACCTCCACCACCACCACCGCCACCTCCACCTCCTCCAGCACCAATGCCACCTCCAACTCCACCCCCTACACCTCCTCCAGCACCAAAACCTCCACCATGACCTGCCCCACCTCCAACTCCACCTCCTCCCCCACCACCAAAGCCGCCACCGCCACCAACACCTCCACCACCGCCAAGACCACCACCTCCACCCCCACCAAAACCTCCTCCTCCGCCCACTCCACCACCACGACGGCCCAACCCACCGGAACAGCGTGGCCCACCACCAAATCGACAATCATCTTGGAATATTTCTTTGTTGAGCTTCTCATTCTCCACAGGGACAGTGATAACGCTCAAATGAAGAATAATGCACATAGCAAGAACAGTCACCCAAACACATTTCCGATGGAAATTAGTAGCCACACCCATAATTGTCTCTGAACAATATTAGAACAAATACACACTTTATCCAATGACCAGTTGCTGCTCTTGCAAAATGAGAAGTGTGCTTTATATAGGCTTGTATACTCGCCAACACTATTAATGGGGCTTGTTGTGAGACCGTTGGGACTCCACAACATTAAACCTAGACAAGTGGAAACAATTAATATCAAAGTCAAAGCCAACTAGGTAGACTTTTCCCACGTTACACTCACTTTGCAATGAACTTCAAGTCAAACACTTACATTTTTTTTTTCATTACTTATTTTCTATTTTTTTTTAACTCCTTTTGGTTATTATCTCTACATGCACAATTCCTCGTAGTGTCCATGAGGGTGTGTAAGACACTCTTTTGGTTCAGAATTATCCGTGTAGTTTGTATTATTACTAATATAATCATTAATTAGTATTCAAAACTTATAAAGTATGGTTATGCAATTTGTTATAATATAATGTTTGTCTAACAAAAGTTATTTATTGGAATATATAGATTTTAAATGCAACACTAATAAATTATACAATAACACTTTGAATGTAATAAAAATGGGTTTATTAAATTTTGACATCAAATTTAAGTTAATGTTTTAATTCTTTATAAACTAAATTACTGTAAAATGAAATATATAATTGCTTTTGTTTTAAAGGGAAAAACAATGTCGATTGTAAAACTTATTATTAAAAAAAAGTTTAATTCGTAGGAATAGCGAAGTAATGAGTAATGTTCATTTAGTACGAAGCGTTGCTTTCATACATTGAACGAGGAAAACGAGATGGTCAGCGCTTGCCAACGCGTATACAGTCTGGCTACCTATCCACCTTCCTGTGAAGAGTTAATGGGTTTTTAGACTTAGAATTTAAATAAAAATTTTATTTCAATACATTAATTTAGATTTTTCACTATTCATTTTTACTATATAAATTATTAAAATAAACTTTAATTTAACTAAAATAATATAAAAATATTTAAGACATATAGCTAAGTTTATTCTTAATATGTTTAATTCTCAATTTAGGTTTAAATTTGTAAGTGTCAATATAGAAACAGTTAGGTTTAGTCTTTTATTGTATGTATATTAAATAATTATTGGTAATTGTTAGCACAAATAGTAGAATGATTTTTTAATCACAATATTTGTATAAGAGAGTATATGTATATTAAATTAAATTTAAAATGTTAATATTTGTATTTTTTTCATTAAAAAAATATATGTATTAAGAGATAAGTTAAATTTCAAAATATTAAAAATAAAATTAATAGTGAAAAATAAAAATATAAAATTAAATAATAAAAGAAAATAAAGATATAAAAACAAAAAGATAACCATAAATATAAAAGATAAAGGTAAAAACTTTCTTTTTTATCCTATAAAGCAGGTTTAAGAATAATTGTTCAACATTTTTATAACACATTTTATAATTTCTATAACATTAAATTTATTTTTTCCTACTTTAAATTCTAATCAATGAATAGTAGAAGAACATTTTTAAAGTTCATTAATAACTAGAGTTAATTTAGTATATTAAGAATATTTTTTAAAAGATCAAATAAATTAATTGTTTAATTGATATATTGATTATATTAAACATGTTTTATACTAACAAAAACATATATATTTTATATGTCAGTCTATCAGTGCTTGACGTTGAAATTAAAAGTTGTGAATGGTGTAGGTGAGACACCAAAGTTTTATTTTACCACTCCTTCGAGCAAATAATTTTAATAATTTTTTTGTTTTTACTTATATTCATATCACATAATTAATCCAACCTAATTATTCAAGTTTTAATTCATTAAACAATTGACCTAACTCACTTTATGCATAAAGGATAAAGATGTTATTTATATCTTCTTCTTTTGAAGATTTCTTTTTTTTAATTTCTTAGTATGCATATTTTTATCACTCATTTTTATGATATTTTTTATACAAAATTATTAGTTTATGAAGTTTATTATTGTCATGTGAACTAATAATTGATATATTATCTTTAAAAGAAATATTTATGACAAAATTATTTCTTGAAATACATTTTTATTAACATTTTGATACTTGGCATTCAAAAATATGGATTTATAAATATTTTCAATATTTGTATTAAAATAGTTAAAATTTTAAAATGTTAATACAAGTGCAAAAATAAATACACTGTCTTCTGAATTTTTTAAAATCAGTTTAGCTCTTATAATAAAACATCTATTTTTATTAACTAAAAACAAGCAATGTTATTATTTATTTAAAAATAAATTAAAAAAAATATTGAATAGTTCATAAAAATTATATCTAAGTTAGAATTCATCTACCACTTAATATGTCAATGTTTGCTTTCATAAAGTTTTAAACTTACCCGTTTTATAAAACTTTAAAGCATTCATAAATTTTTAGTGTGATGCTAAGGCAAGACATGATTTGTATGTAAATAAATAATTATAACATGTAAGCTGCATGATTGTGTAATTGTAAGAGGATTGTACCAAAGCTTTTAGCTCAACACAAGGCAACGTGGAGTCTATATCATAATTAATTGATCATTACATTAAACATTTTTTTTAGTAATATCCAACTATTGTAGGGTTGGTAAAAGCTCCGCAACCTCATGCATGTATTCTTAAGCCCTAATGTTTACCCCCACCACCTCCTTCACCAACACCAATTCCAGAACCACCACCAGAACCACCACCGGAACCACCTCCAATCCCAACTCCAATGCCAATTCCGATGCCAATTCCTCCACCTCCGCCGTGACCTCCACCTAAACCTGTCCCACCTCCACCACCGCCTCCTCCTCCACCACCTCCTCCACCCCCTCCTATTCCTCTTCCCACACCACCTCCTGCACCAAATCCCCCACCATGACCTGAACCTCCACCTATTCCACCTCCTCCTCCTCCACCAGCACCACCTCCTCCTCCTGCTCCTCCACCAACACCACCTCCTATACCCCCACCAGCACCAAATCCTCCACCATGGCCTGAACCTCCTCCCAAACCACCACCACCTCCACCTCCCCCTCCACCTCCACCTGCTCCACCACCTAAGCCTCCACCAACACCAACACCAGCTCCAAACCCTCCACCATGGCCTGAGCCACCACCTAATCCACCACCTCCACCTCCTCCGCCCCCTCCACCTCCACCACCTCCTCCAACTCCACCACCTATACCTCCTCCAGCACCAAAACCTCCACCATGACCAGTCCCACCTCCGCCACCGCCACCTAAACCTCCACCACCTCCAAGACCACCACCACTGCCACCACCAAGTCCACCACCTCCTCCAAGACCTCCACCACCGCCAAGACCTCCTCCTCCACCTTTACCGCCGCCAAGACCTCCACCACCACCAAGACCTCCTCCACCTCCACCCCCAAAACCTCCTCCTCCCCCTAATCCAGCACCAGGACCAGCACGGCCCCTCCAACCCTTACACCTTGGCCCACGTCCAAAATGACAATCATCTCCAAACCTTTGTTGGTCAAGCTTCGCATTGCCAACAACACTGATCACACTCAACTCAAGAACAATGCACATAACAAGAACACTCATCACGAAAACCCATTTGCTCTGGGAATTAGCAGCCATTGCCAAAAAAACCAATACAATCAAACTCTCCTGCTCTGGCAGACGCTATGAGTGCACCTTATATATAGGATTTCTCGTCTAGACACTACTATTAATGGTGCATGTTATGAACAGTTGGGGAATTGGGACCAACATCAAACCACGACAAGTGGAAGTAATGTCAAAGTCTAATATGAACGTGGACTTTAACTCGCTGCTCTCATCTAACGGGTAGATAGATGCATTTATGCCAAGAAAATCACAATATAAAGATTATAATTACAAAAGAGTTAGGCCAAAATATCATGGTTATGATAGGAATAGAGGGAGAGAAAAGAAATAAAAGGTTGAAAATGTTTAAAAGTATGTGATTTGTTCTTATCCAAAAAATCAATCTTATAAAGTTCTATCTTCACAATTCCTTCCTACAAATTTTTACATGATAATAAAGAGTTGAATAAAATATATGATCAGATTAAAAAATATTAAAATTAGTATTTTTAAAACATAGTAACTGATGTTTTGTCACACAAAACCAAAAACCATTCATTCAACCATCTATTTTTAGATTTTTATATTATTTTATTTTATTTTCTCCATGAAAAAAAAATATTTTTTAAAATGATGATTAGTAAGATGTTGGTAAAAATGTAGTGTGAAATAATGTTTTCCCTCAAATATATAACTCTTTCAATAATACGCATATGGCTTTCAATTAGAGGTCTATTTATAAGTCTAAAACTTATTTTTGTTCATTTATTTCCATACTATCTTCGTCCAAATTGATCTTATGTCATGAGAGTGAATGCAAGATCTCTTTGGTTCATGCCTATACTTTGTTTGTGCTACGATTTAAAATAAATCATTACTAGATAAGATGTATGAAGTGTGAGAAATGTGTTGTTTAATATTGTATTTTTCTAACAAAAATTAAACTATTGATATAGATTTTAAAGGACTACATTGATATTAAGAATAGATATTACTTATTTCATATTATAATGAAAGTATATATTACTGGAATATATCAAAATTTAGTATAAACTCACAATTTCTCTTCTAATAGTTCATTTTCTAGTCTTAGAAAGCTTACTAATTACAATGGAAGCTACTACTAATAATTAACCATTTGAAGTGTAATAAATTGAATTCTATTTCTGTATAAATTGGATTCTATTTCTGTAAAAAATGGTTTCTATTATTTTCTAACAAAAAAAGAAGAAGTTGATATCATATATTAATTATCTTTATACCCACTTAGCCTTTATCTTTCCATATGAACACCTTTTAAAAATATATCTCAAAATTAAAAAGTGAAAAATTCTGTTTTTATGGTTTAGTATTCATTAAACATCTTTTTAATATATACCCACGGGTTAATATATATATATATATATATATATATATATATATATATATATATATATATATATATATATATATATATATGCATAGAGTCAACTATACCGACGGGTATATAGTCTTGGCTAGCAATCTACCTTTCTGCGTAGAATTTAATTCCCTCTTTTTTTATCATTATCAAAGGAAGAAAATTGGTATGACAAGTCACAAATTCTGGCAAATCTTAATGGATAGTCATGGAAAAAATTAAATTTGCAAAACAAAATAATGTCAGAGCCTTAGTTGACACTTGCTGCATGGGACACCTGTAGTAATCAAGGTTCATTGAAAGAAGCTTTGTGCATATTTTATATAATGCACATAATTTTCATGATTTTGTAAATTATAAGTTTTTCAAAGAAAGTAATTTAGTAAATTTTTTTATTCTTAAATAATTATTATAAAACTATATTTAAATATCTATTTACTAAAAATAAATGTCATGAAATAATTAAAATTTTTATTTATTATAACCAATTAGAAACACTACAAGAAAATCACATATTTCCGACATATTTTTACCAATGGATTTGTAGTCATCGGAAAATGAGTCATTACAGACGAAAATTACTGACGGATATAAAATATTTGTGGAATTTGGTTCTTACAGGTAAAATAATAATTAGTTACAGACGGATATAATTATCGGTAAAATAATAATTAGTTATCGATGGATATATCCGTCGGTAAATCTGTCAGTAAATTAACAATTAATTACCGACAAATATTTATGTCGGTAAATTCATCGATAAATTAACAATTAGTTATCGATGGATATATTCGTCGATAAATTAATAATTAATTACCGACGGATATATCTGTCGTTAAATTTGTCAATATATTAACAATTATTTACCGATAGATATTTTCAGTCGATAAATCCATCGACAAATTAACCATTAATTACTGACGGATAGTCGATAAACTTATATAATAATTACTTAATATATTTTAATAAATTAATTATTCACCTAATTAAAAATTAAATATTTTTTATTTAATAATTTAATTTAAACATAATTAGATTATTTTATAATAATTTATTAAATTAAATAATTTTAAAAAATAAATATTTAATTATATATAAATATATCAAAATATATAAATATATTTGTATTTATATATTTATATGGATATACATTTATTTGTATATAAATATAATTTATTTGTAAATTATTATCAAAAAATTTAAGTAGTTTAATTAAACAAATATAAATATTTACCTTAAAATTACAACTACTTCAAATATTTTTAAATTTTATATTTTAAAAACAATTATATATATATATATATATATATAAAACTAAATATCCAATCAAAAAAATTATACATTATCACAAGATAATTTTACAAATTAATTAGATTTAGGGTCAATTTGTTAAGGCTTATTGTTTTGGAAAAAAGTGTCTCAAAATAATTAATTTGTTTATCTTTTTATACATTTGTTTAATTTGTGTTTTAAAAATAAATAATTTTTATTTTCTTAGAAAATAATATATATACCTCTTAAAGAAGTTATTATTCAAATAATATTCATCTTACTAAAACTTATTTTAATTATATTCTAAACTTGGGAAACAGTATATTTATCAAAGATAATTTTCACTTCAAAAATTGGTTGTGTATTTTAACTTATATTTAAATATAAATTTTGAGACTGGAGAAGTACATTTTTTCTCAAATCTCCAGACAAATACAAGTTATTATAAAATAAACTTAAATAGTTCAAAGATATATTTTTTTCAAGCACGTTCTAAGGTTGTCAAAAATTGGTTCTTAAACAAGAACTAAATAGAAACCAAATAGCATGAAATAGATTGTATTTTGTGGAAACATTAACTCAATCTTAAAAAAGATAATTTAGTAATGCAAACCTTTTCTCAGTTTTCTTTTTCAAAACCACAGTTTTAGCTCTGAAAAATTACAAGCAACCAAACATTTTTTTAAAAAACGTTACAAATATTATAAAATTTGAAACATAACTTTAACCAAATAGTTACTTTTTTTTTTAATAACACATGCAAACAAATCTTATATTAATAAAAAACAACTAAACAATTACACCAAAATCTATAACAACAACAATCTCATGATTTTCAATGCACATTAACATTAGGTCCCATGAACCTTTTTAAAATAAATAGTATAAATAAGAATATGATAATCCAAATACAGATGATCTTATAGCTGAATTTGGACATAATATGAAGAGGAACAGGACATGGGAAATCTATAATTCTATTATCTATGGCATCACAACATGAATTGTGCAAGAGAATATTGGCTTGAGTTAAGCCTTGAATGGAAATGAATAACACTGTTCAACAGAAATCTCCATATTGGTGGGGCATTAGTAATGACCCACAGCCTTGCCGCACCTCAGAGCATTACTTGGAATTGGGTACTCATCTCTCCATGAATTTGCAGGGGAATACACCCTAAGATAAAATTGCTGGCCCAAATACTGATGAGCCCAATTCTCAGACCTTACATTCCACATTCCCACATTGTCCAAGGGCATGTAAAGTGCAGTCCATGACTTGGGATAAACCTGTCAAACCAAATCATACTTTTCAGTATATAACCAAGCATGTCAATCAAAAAAATGGTATCCAAGAAAGGTTCTAGAATATGTTGGAAAAGTTTCTCAACTTTTCAGTAAGTTAGTTTCAAAATAACAACTTCTAAAAGTCAATTCTAATATGATTTCTGATATAAAGAAAATGACATATAAAGAGTTATATATTTCAAGGGATAAGAAACTAGATTACCTGAACTGTGGAACGAGAAACTGTATCTCTTAAATTGTAACTAAGCCTGCTTGCTTGTGACCATTGTCCTCCATCCATTCTGCTCGTTCCAATGAAGAAAACAAGAACTCAGTCAGAATTTTGTGAGATACATGTTGCTACAAGTTAGTGAAAGCAATTCATTGATCTCAAAGAACATGAAAGGAACTCATAGTATTAATTGAATGGAGAAAAAGATATAAATGAGTGTGCTACATGCCTTATATATAAAGCTTGTTGAATTATTAAGCACTAACTATCAGAAAGCTAGTAGAACCAAAGCTTAAACATTATGCAGTTTAGCATCAAATTTGCATCTGAAAGGAATGATTAGGTGATCTTACCCTACTACAAAGAAGCTGTGGCCGTCAATGTGCCAAGATTCCACAGTGTCTTCAGTATTCTCAAACACAACCTCCAGAAAGGCTCGGAAATCGGCTTCCATGACAGAAGTTTGAAGGTAACCACCACCACCAGTAGGATTGTCAGGGATACTTCCAAGAGAGAACACCCCTTGGATCTTGTAGTAATCAGCCAGTTTTAGTGGTGTATCAGCAGGTATGAAGGAGACACTATTGACAGCATATCTCTGTTTGCCATTGATAACTGGACCAGAATTTTGAAGTCTAATTGTTCTAGTTGTGTTTATCAAACCATAATGGTAAGATCCTTGTGGATTAGGTCTTGGCCCACTTGCTGTTAAATTCCTCCTGATTTAGTTATATACAAGTAGTAAGTATGGTAGTACTGTGTTAATAGAACATATTAAGAGACAAGATAACAAATAAAATTGGCAGTATAAAATCACATAACCTTGTTATATATCATTAGGTCTTTACTATAGAAGAATTAATTCTGTGGTGGAACTAATTTATGGCATGTATCAGTTTTCAAATTACTTCAAATGTACTTTGGTATCATTATTTAATTAGAATTGGAGTCTCACCTATTTTTTATGCAAACCTTTATCGTGTAGATTTCTGATATGAAACTTATTCTGATTGAATAACAGCACTTAAAGGGAACTGCATCTAAGTTTTGTCTTACATGTATCATTTAGCTTTTGAGTATAAAATAGATACCTAAGAGAGCGAGCTTGGTTTAAAGACCAATCAACTTGAATAGTTGGCCCCCAAGGAAAAAGACCAGTAACACTCCCTCCAGAGTTACTGTAACGAAAAATGGAGGTAGCATTCAACACTTGAGAGGTAAATCGTGTTGTGACAACAATGAGGTAGTCTTGGGGTGGTTGATCAGCTGTAACCAACACAGAGTAAGTCTGGCCCAGATGAACGTCAAGTGAGTCATAAATGTTTTGGAGAGTGTGGGTCCCTTCCACCTCAACAATTGTCATTTTATGCCCTTGGATTCTGAAATTGATTGAAGTTGTGAGACCCACATTTGAAATCCTGAATCTGTATGTCTTCCCTGCCCAAAATTCAAATACCTCATAATTTAACGTGAAATTATTCATCCAATTATCGATACATCTGCTATGACATCAGTTTTTAAGTAAACAAGTTGCTAAAGTTCTTGTATACCTTGATCAACTGTGAATGTGTAGGCATTGGAACCACGTCCATTGATGATAAGTCCATCAGGGAAAGGAAGGTCACTTCCACCATCTAAAATTGCCCTCAAATCCTGCAAGAATAAACACAATTGAACCAAGTTTGCTAGAGAACAAATCAAGTCAAATGGTTAAGGACACAAAAGCTACAACTAGTAGCTTCTATTTGAAAATTACATTCAGAGAAAATATTAGTGTACCAAACCACCACATATCTATTGTTCCCATCAATCTTCACGAAATATATAATTGAGATTTTCAATTTATGAGAAAATTAATGACATTCAATTGCATGTCAGGTGACACTTAGTCTGGATCATAGTGGTTCTGAGATTTTCAATTTACGAGAAAATTAGTAACATTCAATTACCTGTCAGGTGAAAATTAGTCTGGTCCATAGTAGTCCTGTACCATAAACCATGTAATAATTTTCCCTGACTCTTGAAGGAAAACTTGTGTAGGATTTCTTGAAAACTGCAGATTGATTCTTGGTTATATTGCATAGCATGCAAGGACTAATGACATTGGGATCTAGCTCCTCTAAAGTAAGATGTATAAAGTGTAAAAGTAAAAACAAATGTACCATTGATTTGAATTAAGATACTAGCTAAGTTAGCCAAATCCAGTAACAATTATCCAAAGAAAGCAACTTACTGTGTGATTTCTCTTGTACCAGTCTCCTGCCAATATGGTGAAATCACCTGCCGGAGGAGGGAATGGCACCGGAATTCCTGGGCGGCTCGCAATTTGGAATCCACCGTAGCCTCCTGCTGCCTTGTGGAATGCAAGGGAAGGGTAGTAGAAGTAGCTGCCAATTTGATCCTTAACTTGAAGAACATAAGTGAAGTTCTGTCCTGGTGGAATTGGACAATTGGTACCATACACTCCATCCTGCCATGAGTTTCTCCTCTGCAGCACTCCATTCCTAAACAAAGAATCAAGCAGTATCACACTGAATTCTCTTCACATGAATAATAGAATTTACACATGCATTGAAATTGCAAACATAGCCTTGACTTATTATTTACAAAGTTGGTTCTCACTAATTTACACATCAACATTGCCTGCTATGTATCATAGTGTAACATCAGCAGATTACATCAACAATTTAATATTTTCAAGACCAGACAAGTATTATTTTTTAATCATTGGGGGTCTATTGTCACTTTTAATCCTAAATTATATAAAATTTCTCTAAATTATTGTTTGATCAACAAATAATTGTTACAACAAACAGCTGAGATTGACAATAGAAGCATCTTGGGATTCATTGAACTACATAACAGAAAATCAGTGTCAGTGACAGCTGCAGGTCAAAAAAATTTGAAATCACCCAGATCTAGCATTTAGCATGTAATACATTCCTATAAACCACACCAAACATGATCCTAATTCTGCATTGTCTCATTTAAACGACGCCGTAGCGTCCAAAAATAGGCTTTCATAAATAGTGCAAAAAGAGAGAGACTAACCAAGATAAGAGGAAAGGTTCATCCAAGCTATTGAAAACATTGATAATCAAGTTATCATTGGTCACGGCCTCAATTTTTGGCCCTGGAAATTGCCAGTTAATCAAAATCCCCTGCCATTATAATTCACACACCATATATTAATTTCATTCATAAGAACAACTAACAAACTGAGGTAATAAAGGAAAATTAAAACGAACAACAAAAAAAGTACCTGTTGTTTAACACCAAGAGGATAAATGTCTCCATATGTGACATTCCAAGTATAGAACCTATAAGGGTCCTCCCCTCTAGCACATGCCATCAGCAACACTACAAAAAATAAGACACTGCACACTCTCATGGAGCACCCCATTTCTTAACTCTTGTTGTTTCTCCTTCCCTCCCTAACCCAAAATGTGGATATGGGAAAATGACAAACTTGTTTCAGCTTTGGACCAACCAAGTTCTATATTTTTTTTACACAACTCCCTCTTTTCCTTTGTGCAAAGGGGGCACAGCCTACCCTTTGCTTTTCCCTTTTGCTTTTTAGAACTCAGCCTAGACGGCTGATATTAAAGAGAGATAATGTCGGTAGAGAGAGAGAGAGAGAGAGAGAGAGAGAGAGAGAGAGAACCAAAGGATTCTTCAACAGAAGCAATGGATCGTCAGGGAACCACCTCTTGCATTTGCATGTGGATGTGTGAGATGGTAGCCAGTGACATAATTGAGCTGTACCCAACAATACAGTACCTTTATAATGAGTGTCAGCAACTTCTTCAGACCACGTCCCTTCAAATTGACCCCATCTAGGTCACTGATCTTAAAAATATACATAAAAGAAACCAAAAAAATAAATATTTGCCACATTCCCAGAATAAAATTACTTACCATACAAATATAAGCTGCAATGGAATGACATTTACCTGGAAAAAGATTACACCTCAGCATAGAAACTAAAACCAAACAGAAGATTTAACTTAATTTACTTTAATCGGGGGAATGAAGTTAAAACAAAAAGTTAGCATGAATTAAGTAAGAGTAACGTAGAGGAGTTACAGGAGTATGAATTATGGGGATGTACGTGTCTTTTTGTCCTTTGTTGTGTTTTGATGTGAAGGGATGACTATTTAGCTGATATGATCCAGAAACAGTGCGTTAGGGTCTCCTTTGTCTGCAGGTGTTTGAAAATCCTAGTCTTGTGCATTGAAAGCCTAAAACTACTTTTTCTGACACAGTGACAATTGCTAGAATTTAATTCTACACGTTGATTCCATGACTTGTGTAAATTCTAATCCATTTATCGATGCTCTCGTTTCAAAGAGAAAAATACTCGCTGCTTATTGTTGTGTTTTATTATGAAATATAAGATTTTTTTAAATAAAATTAATACATTTTAAACTAAAAATCTAATACATTGCAAAAATATAAATTACTATAATTTGATAAAAAAAATTATTAGTTTAAAAGATATCGTTTTATATTTTGTTGCAGACAAAAAGTCAAACTGGCCTTGTAACTTTGTAAAAACTTTGAAAATAGTTTGGTAATAAAATGAAAAAAAAAGTAGTATAAAATATTAACGTGCTTTTGTACCAAAAATAAATTAAAGTAAAAACAAGACAACGAAGAACATGACAATATTTTCTACTTTTTGTCTATTTTTTGTTTATACAAGTAATGAAATTTAGGTGCCGATTGATTAATATGGCACATGTTCGTCGAATTTTTATTGTAACTAGTAACATATATGATATTTAACAGATAAAAGAATAATGAAATATGATATTACAAAAAAACAATTATTCATACACGTGTTATTTTAATTGCTATTGGTACACATATTTTCACACTTCATAACTATTCATATATTCAATTACTTCAAATCTCCTACAATAATTTATATCTATATTGAAACAAACTTGTCAGTTTTTTCTGAAAATTTTACTTACTTGGTTATTTATATATATTCTTTTAATTTCTATATAACAATTCTTGTATTTATAAAAATCAATCTAATAAATAATATTTTATTTAAAATAATTAAATAAAATATTTATTAATTTATTTATCTAAAAAAACTCATTTTTTAATGTATTTTTTATAATTTTTTTCTCTTCTCATTCACTTATTATTTGTTTTATTTCATATTTCTTATGTTTTTTCTCCTCTTTTATCTATTTTTCTAATTAAAATTATTATATTAAAATTTAATAAAAATAATAAAAATAATTTTTTTCAAATTAATATTGAACTAAAAAAATATTAATTAATTATTTAAAAATATGACGACAATAAATAATTTTACTTAGATAATATAAATAAATAATTTAAAAATATTTTATCATAATAAATTAATTACTTATCTAATTAAAAAATATATCGAATAATTATGAGTTAAATATAATTTTTATTTAATAATTTAATCAAATTATAATTAGATTAAATTATAAAAATTAGTCAAATTAGGTAATTTAAAAATATTATTAAAAAATCATTTTAAAATAATTTATTTTTAATAATAATAATGTTTTAAAATTTATTATATAATATTTTTTAAAATATAATATATTAAATTATAGTATTTTTAAATAATTTAAATATTTTTTAAAATTAATAAAATATTTATTTTATCAAATTTTTAATCTATTATTTTTAATTAAAATAAATATAATGATGTAAAAGAATAATAAAAGAGGCAAAAGAAAAGAAATACCAACACTAACATACAGAAAAAATAATAATAAGAAATAAACGAAGATATATAAAAATAAAAAAAATAAACAACAAGAAAAATATTAACTATATTATATTAAATAATTTTATTTTTTATTATTAAGTTTTATTTATAAATAGTAAAAATTTATTAAAATAGTTATTTTAAAATAAATATTTTTAATAATTATAATATAATAACATTTATAATGTTTCAAATTTTATTATATAATATTTTTTAAATATAATATATTAAATTATAAAAAATTTAAATAATTTAAATATTTTTAATTAAAATAAGATAAAAATGAGAAAAAAATACACATTAATCACAGACAAAATAAATAAATAATATGTTAGATAAATTTATTATTTATTATTAAATTTTAATAATTAATTCTATTTTGATAAATAATTTCACATATATTTATTTAAGTAAATTAAAAATATATTATTTATAGATTGATAGTTGTTATTAATAACTAAACTTATACGTATTTAATTTAAATAATGTTTATTTTTAAATATATTATTTATAGGATTAATTTTATTTATAAATTTAAATTTTTATGTTTTGTCTAAAATATTTAATAATTTTCTTATTTAAATTCAGTTATTTAAAATATCCTGTAATATCTATATTTTACAAGCTTTTTATTCTTTATAAAACATTTAACTATTTTCTTATTTAAATTCAATCATGAAATATACTGTAATAGTTTATATATTTATTAAGATGAACTTTTTTCTGTTTTGTTTTAAATATTTATTATTTGCATATTTTAATTCAAATATCCTGCAATAATTCATATATTTGTTATAAGACTAAATTTCCAGTTTTCTTTTAAATATTTAATTATATTCATTTTTTAATGTTTTAAATTTTACTTTTTCAATACATTCATTAATAGAAATAACATTTGTAATCACGTTACTATTCTAAATCCAGAGAGAAAATAAATCAGGAGTTATTTTTAAATATTTTTAAAATTAGTTTTAATTTTTTAATTATTCGATAACTACTTTTCTTAAATAATTTAAAAAAATTCTAATATTAAAATCTAAAATGAACAAAAATATATATTTTTTAATATTTATTAATAATATTTACATCATCACGAATAAGATAACACAATATAATCATATAATAATAATATCTGTTTTTATATTAAATTATTTAATAAATATTTTAGAAATTGAATGTGAAAATATAATCAATTTTTCCATGAAATTATCGTATTCTTGTTTAAAATGTGAAAATAAATTTTATTAATTAATTTTTTTATTTAATTTTTTTAATCAAAATTTTAAATTTATATTTCAAAAGTAAAAAAAATATATTATAGTTTTCCTTCTTTTGATCGGTGGTTGTGATTTTAGTTTATCTACATTTGATCATTTACTTGATGGTATGTGAGAATCACTTTTATAAATAATATATTTTAAAATATAATGAATGAAATAAAAATTTTATTAGTTTATTTATTGAGATAAATATATTTATTATTTATAAGTAGTTTTTTATAATTATTTTTTTTCATTTATTATTATTATTATTTTATTTATCTTTTTAATTATAATTATTATGTTAACATTTAATAAAAAAATATCAACTAATTATTTAAAATTATGATGATAGTAAATAATTTTATTTGTTATAATAATAAATAATTTTATCTATAATGATGTAAATAATTAATTTAAAATTATGTTATAATAATAAATCAATTACTCATTTTTTAATAAATATTAAATATTTATCAGATAAATATATTTTTTATTTAGTAATTTAATTTAATTATAATTATATTGATTAATGATGATTAGTCTAAGTAATCGAAAGAAATATTTATTAAAAAAATATATTTTTTAAATAAATATTTATTTTTTTAATCTAATTATCAAATTTATTATATAATGCTTTTAGATATAATATGTTAAAATATAATATTTTGAATAATTTAAATATTAAAAAGATTTAAAAATAATAAATGGTTTATTTTATCAAGTATTTTTTTATTAGAAAAGTAAAATAGAGCGAGAGAATAACAAAAGAAGAAGAGAGATAAAAAAATGAAGAAAAAAATAAGATGAGAAAAAAGAAAAAAGAATTATATTATATGAATTTTTTTATTATTATTAAATTTTATATATCAAATCTAAACATATATAATTAGATAAATAAACTTAGATATTTTATTCAAATCATTATTTATAAATTAAATCAGTAAGAGAGAAAATAAAAAATAGACAATGAGTAAATAAGGAGAGAGAAAAAATTACATGAAAACAATAAATTGATTCACTTAAAAAATAAATTAATAGATATTTATTTGAGTAGTTTATTTAAAATATATTATTTATATGATTAATTCTAAATGCATATTAATATTGTTATGATGTCACAAAAGACAGCACGTGCTCAAGATACAAAGTCATCTTAAAAAACCAAATCATGTTCCATAAACACTTACAGATAATAACGACGTAGAGTTACCTATATATATATTGAAATAAAATATAATTGTTTTCAAGAAGTTGTAAAATTGTCTAATCTCAACCCAACCAAGGGATAATAAGGACTTTTACAAATTCATATTATATGTTATTATACGTGTACACCATTATCATCATAAACATGTTATTTATGACAAAATTCATAAGAAAATAACATACTCAAGATTAACATATTCAATATCTCCTGCAACAAAATAATTAAGCCAAATAATAAACAAAGATATCGTAAAATAATATTTTAAAAATAAAACATATTCAGGTAAAGAATAAAACATTAATAACAATCAAAATATTCAATAAAAAGAATATATACCTCGTTATGAAAATAAATATATTAAAATATTTATCTTTTTCAAAAACTAGTTTAAGAGGATAGAGAATCTCTAATCTTATAAGATATTATTGAAAACGAAACTTTTGTAATGTGGGACTTATTATAATACTATCATGTTTAAAAATCAGTGTCTCTCGTAATTGTACTCTCCTTTATTTCATTCACCAATATTTCTTGGTACGAACTTCTAATGATCAGAATCCTCTATAAATAATCTTTCTGGAATTAGTTGACTCTGAACGAAAATACTAACAATAATTAAACTAAAATTAAGGAGAGAACCATTCCTAAAAAATCTAGCTCAAAATATTAGACAATCTCTAAACTTATAAGAACTCCGTTATAAAGATACCTCCCCAACCTAATACAAAATATCTGTTGAAATAATAGTTCCTCTTCTTAAAATATATATTTTAAGATGAATTGGATGTATATATTCTTAGGTAGATGACGTATCAAAGGTGGGATCCACTTGAAAAGTGGCAATGCTCAACCAGGCATGAATACAATAAATTAAAACTTGGTTGGAAACTAATGTACGTGGTGGACCGTGGATCAATACAACATAAAATATTTCTTTTTGTGGTGAATTACGTGAGAGAGAGACCTGTGCTTACTTCAAAAAGCGTATAAAAAAGTACAAAATTTTCATACGTCTCACAGTTTATAAAATACAAAAATCAATACCATTTCTTTTTATAACGTTCTGCGTATCTATTTTACTGGATTTTACGATATATTTATTTATATTTGACTTGATTATTTTGTTGTAAGAGATTGGATATGTAATTTGAGTTTGTTATGCTATTTTCTTATGAATTTTATCATAAATGACCTCTTTATTATAATAATGGTAACACACATATAATACATATAAATTGAACCTGTAAAAGTGATTGTTATCCATAAGTTGGATTTAGATAAGAAATAATTACATTTTATTTTAATACGTAGGTAAATCTATTTTTATATAAAGCATGCACAAATAATATCCTAAAAAAGAATTAAAAATAATTATTGGATGGATGTTTGATATAAAAAAAATTGTTTGTCTGTATATCATTGTTATTTTGAAAGAAATAAATGTGAAGATAAATAACAAGAAAGGACAGACACCAGCTAAATTGGAGCGGTTCGTATTTTTTTTGGCTCACCACTCAGTCTATGCAAAGGATATTGAATTGAGTTTTTTACTTGCGTCCACAGAATCTCCATCTCTGTCTTCTTTATCTTGGCCCATAACACTAGTCAGAGTGTGTGAGATTTCCATCTCCAATTACAAGGACAGAAAGAAAAAAGAGAAAGGAGAACATGGGAGTGTTGAAGGCTGCAATTGGAGACGCAACTTTGACATCAATGTGGGTTTTCATCATCTCAACTTTGAGGATTGCTTCAACTGAGGTAGCACTTTTCCTTGGTCTCCAACCCCTCTCACTTCCAGGCCTCTTTATCTCCACCATCCTCAACACCCTCTATGTCCTCACCATAAGCTTCGTCGGAAGGGTCTTAGGTGGTGCCAGCTTCAACCCTTCAACCACCGTTTCATTCTACACTGCAGGCCTCAGGCCTGACTCATCTCTTGCATCAATAGCTGTTAAGTTCCCTGCTCAGGCATTTGGTGGGGTCGTTGGAGCCAAGGCTCTTCTTCTAGTGATGCCATCTCAGTACAAGCACACGCTGAAAGGTCCTTTCTTGAAGGTGGACTTGCACACTGGTGCTATGGCTGAGGGGTTGTTGACTTTCACTCATAACATGGCTATCCTCTTTATCGTGCTCAGGGGTCCCAAGAACCCTTTTTTGAAGGTGTATTTGCTTTCTGTGGCTACTGCTGCTTTGGCTATCCTTGGTGCTGGGTTCACTGGACCTTCCATGAACCCTGCCAATGCCTTTGGATGGGCCTTCATCAACAACAAGCACAACACTTGGGAGCAGTTTTATGTCTATTGGATATGCCCTTTACTTGGAGCATCCTCAGCCGCTTTGATCTACCGATCTATATTCATGTCACCAATCAAGCAGAAGAAGGCTTGAAATAGTTAAGCTTGTATATTTTAATTGGGGAAAACTGTGCCCAAATAAATTACTTCTTCCCCTGTCATTAGCTTTAAGTACGAACTGTGTACAATGTAGATGAATTATATTATTGCTACTCTGAATATTTGAATACTAACCTTCTTAGGAGTATTGATGATAAAAATGTTCTTAGTTAGAGTGAGGCAAACCAAGAGAATGTACACAACAGAAACATACACGAGGTAAAGGATGGTGACTTCCATTATGGTCTCTCATGGATCACTTTGCTTAATCACAATCGATATTAAGTTTAAATAATATGTATAATCTTCTTAATTATAGTAGACATTTACTTAGGAGAGCAGATATTGAGAAGAATCTCGCACGGTCAATTTTCATGAATTATACAGCAAGGAGAAAATTAACTTTGAAAGTTCTATTACAACCATAGAGTGCAAAAACTCAGACTTACTACTACTACATATGGTAACCGATTAAAACAAACAGTGACAAATTTTGAAGTTTCCAAGGGGAACTCTCTTCAGCAGGTACAAAAACATAGGATCCAAGTGAAGCACACTTGTAACATGGAGTAAGATATGTTACATTGAAGACCTTAGATCGTAGCCCTTTATAAGGTGCATTGGTGGTAATTTGAGTATGAGCGTTAGGTCCTCCAGGGGTGCCATTAGTTGTTATTCAAGTTGAACGATGTGTCTGGTGCATGAATAGCATGCAATTGAAACATGTTTGTGAGTCAGAAAATTGAAGAAGGCTTGGCATGAATCTTTGTTCCATTTTGTCATGCTATCACCACCATCACCGTGGATCAAACTCATGGCTTCTAATTTCAGTTGCATCTTCATCTTCGATAAACCCCGATTCTTCTTACCTATTCCAAAGTATTGAGAAACAGCATTAGAAATTTAGATTTCTCCAAATTCCTATCATTAATGGAATTATGTATCAAGTTGTGATCAGAGTCGTGTGAAAATATCTGTATAAAAAAAAATAAAAACACCTTTTGTCAATCCAAATAATTATTAGATAATTTAAAATAGCACTATATACTAATAATTGTTTCCATATATATATATATATATATATATATATATATATATATATATATATATATATATATATATATCGTTGATATTAACAAAAATATTTTTTTTTAAGATTTAAAATCTTATACAAAATCCAAATCTTACTTTTAAGCCTCTCGCAATAGATTATCAACATCCTAAACAAATTTTGTAAGATCATTATGTTAAATTTAAGGATATATTCTTAAGACTCTTAAATCTTGTGCCTCGAATGAAAGTGTATTTTTTTTTTTTTGTCTAATTTCAATATTTTTAAAATCGGATTCTTGATTTGAACGGTAGAAACATGGATTTAGAATTTAATGAGTTAATTGGAGTTTAACCTAGATTTAAGATTTAAAAATTTAATAAAAATTTAACCAGATTTAATAAAATAATATTTGTATAATATAATAAATTTAATAATAATAATAATTTAAAAAAAATTATTATCATAATTACAATAAAATTTATAAATATAAAATATAGGATAAATAATTATTAAAATAAAATAATAACACAATAAAATAATTCTTATTTAAAATTGATATCCTTAATATAAAATAAAGAAAATATATATTATATCTTTTATAAAATAATTATATTAAAAAAGTTAATTTTAATTCTTTTATTAAAATTGGTTCCATTTAAAAATTTTACCAATTTTTTGGATTTTTTAAATTTTATATTAATTTTTAATTAAAATTTAATTATTTAAAAGGAAATTAATTGAACGTGCACCTAATTCTATGATTATCAACTTCTTTGTTATAAGACTTCGAAACGTGAAAACCACACTAGCCAAGACATGCTCCTGCCAGTGATTGACGTTTTTTTTTTTTTTAAATGTGATTTTGGTCTTTAAATATTTTAAAACTCATGGAAATGATCGATCCCTTAGTTTGTTTACTTCTTTTCCAACATAGATTACAAAGTCTCACAAACAAATTTTTTTTTTTTTTTTGGGGAGAATCCTCAATAATTTTATGAAGAAAATAAAAGAAAAAGTTTATCATTTTGCAAAATAACATATTACCATATAATACCTTAATAAAAATAAATAAATCTAATGTTAGAATAAAAGAAAAAACTCATTCAAACAACCAGTTAGATTATCCACAGATATTACTTGTTATAACAAACTAAATTAATAATACGATGAGACCATTTTTAGAAAATAGCAAAGAGAAAAAATAAAAGCATGACAAGTTAGTTTAATATAATATAGCCCAATTTGAACCTAACTTGGCATATGAACAAGAATATTCACACGATCACATAAAATGAAAATAAAAGTACCTGAAAACAACTGCTCCTTGTTTCCTGTATCTGTGACACAGCTTGTATCCCAAAATTTGAGGTAAACTGAACTTTGATCCAGTAGATCAAGGACAAGAAGCAAACATTGCTTTCAAAAACCACCTTTCACTGATTCTGGTGCTCCTGATTGATACAATGGGCTACGATACGAAAACCTCCCCAGCAAGCTGTAACAACAACAAACAACAGATAAAAGCTATGATCATACAAACACTTCCATCATTCTATGCACAATGTCTCATACTCCATCAAATTGTAACATCTGGGTGTGTTTTTTCTTTTTCTGTTGTGCCAAGAAGAAGAAATACAGCTATTTTGGTTCCTATCAGCACCCTTGCAGTATCAGATAACCAAGAAACAAAAAGGGTTTATAATAAAGTGATGAAGCATGTATATAGGTTATATGAATCATGAACCTACCATAGATTGAGCCTCAGATTGTAAAGATGAAGAAGAGGGTGAAGGAGGAGCAGCCAAGTTTAGTAGTGCTGATACAAAGGGTGTGGCCACTCCTCTTCGAAAAAGAGCTTAAGATTTAAACCATAAACAATTATATATAGTCAAAAATAGAAAAAGAGTTAGAATAAAAGGAAAGAAAAAGGGAAGTGAGTTGGTTCATTGAACCTGGACGCGCACAAGAGTGGATGATGGAGCATAGTAGAGAGACAGACAGGAACATAACATCATGGACGTGAGACGAGGGCTGTAAAAGGTTTGGTAGGTGCGCCTAGCATCTGTTTAACGTTTCTCTTTTTTCGTAAAAAGAATAAAAACACGAATTTAATAAAGTTTTAGAGTATCAATGAGCCTAATGTTTACACTATGTTTTTGTTTGATGCTTCTTATGTAATCAATCTCCTTAATGAATGGACACCTATAAGGATGTGAGTATTATATTTATTAGGAATTAACCACTGTATTTAAGTAATCCCATTATATCTGAAAGTTATAAGAATGTCTTGTGAAGAAACCAAAGGAACAATTCTTTGAGTAAAGTAAAATCACTGCAGATTTTTTTTTTTTTAATCTCACTAGAATTTGTGCATATTTAATATTAAAACCGATATAACAATTTTATATAAATTAATCTACTCAATATATGATGTACATTGAAATTTTACTATTTTGAGAAGATGACTGAGTGATAAATTATTGTTATTGCCTTCTGTTATTATCTAATTTAAAATTATGATCCACTCATTTATTTGAATTTGAGCTTAACAGACTAATATAAAATGAACTCAATTTCTTTTTAAACTAAATATTATATAAACTTAATATTAATTAAGTTATATAAAATATTATTTATTAAACAAAAAACTTCACTAATATATAATTATTTAAACAATATATATATATATATATATATATATATATAAAACAATATAGATTATTTTTTATGATTTTCCCTCTTTGTATTAAGGCCCGTCATCATCAGCCCAAGAAGTACGTGTTTTTGGGTCAGATGAAAAGAATGAAAAAGACTAAAAAAAACACAAAGTTGTTTTGGGTCCTAATCATAAGATTTGAGTTTGACCAATTTCACATTTTTGAATTACATTCATGCAGTTGATTGTCTGGGTTGTGTGTTATTCACGTCATGTTTATTTTGTTGAAGGTATTTAGAATGAAAAAAAAATCTTTATCTACGGTGAATGATATTAAAAATAGATGAACAACCAAATTTGATTTGTAATAATTTTATATTTTTTACTTGGAATAAAACGAAGCAATTTAAACTCTTTTCATATGATTATTTCAAACTTCAAATTATAATTTATTTAGAATTAAAAACTTTTATTTTTTCACAACTTAAAACAGATAAAACATTAAAAATCTAATTTTTACTGGTGTAATTATAGTAGAATGCATAGTTCTTACGTCTGTTATATTATAATAGACATAAAATATAAATGATTAATTTTTTATAAAAAAAATTTAATATTAATTATATATAACATTATATTATATTGCTTCATGATCTTGTTAAAATAGTTAAAAAAGCAAAAAAGAAAAAGGAAAAAGACGTAGAGGGGAGCATGAGAATGCACTGGGAAAGGACGAAAAGAACAAAAAGAATGAATGACAAAAATATTTTTTAAATTTAAATTTTTTTATTATTTATTCTTTTACATATATTTTAAATTTTGAATCTTTTACATGTCATTTTTTTACACACAACTTTAAATTAATAAAAATACAAATATTTATTTTAGTTTTTTTAAAATTATCAAATAAAATAAAAAAATATATTCAAAATCATATTTATTTATTATTATAATTAATCATATTTAAAAAAATAATTTTACTATATTATATTTACCAATATAATATAAAATATTTAATTTATTTGTTATTTTTATTCTAAAAAATAATTAAAAATTAATTAAGCAATAATCTAAAAATATATCTAAAAAATTTATAATTTATCATGAAATATGCAAAAATTATATAAGTTCTTGAAACATCATTAAATCAAATATCAAACAAGATTTTAGATCTTATATGTATATTAAGATTTACTAAAAGTTTAATAAAATTTTAAACATAATCTTACTAGTAAATATGACTTTAATATTATACAAATTAACATTGTATTATACACAATTTAAATAACTATAATATGAGTACAAATACGTTTTATTTTAAAAAAATTACTTATCTATATATTAAAATAAAATTCTTATAAAAATTGATTAGAATAAAAATGATATTATATATTGGAAAAGATATTAAAAAATATAATATAAATTTATGATAAGATTTTTAAGTTGATATTATATTAGTTAATAATACTTAGTGACCGTTAAAATAGTTAACATATTTAAAAAAACTGTATTAAAAAGAATTTTTAGTATAATAGGAATAATTTTTACATGGGTTTATAAAGAAGGGTTTGATGGATGTTAGGTGAAATATTGTCTGCATGCTATACAGAGAATGATAATATAAACATGAGAGATTTTCATGATTAAAAAAAAATATGTCTTTCTAGGGAAATGAGTTTGTAATAAGAGTAATTATTCATATCTCAAATCGGATGAGATATGAATATTGTTATAATATATGTCTAGATTAACATTAAAACATTTGTGTAGTAAATTTTTATAAAAGTTGACTTCAAAAATTAATATTGAATATTTTTAATAACCTTAATTTTAAAATTGGTAATTTTTTATTATATATAAGTTTTTTTAATTTATTTGTTTATTGACTAATTTAATATAGTGAAAAATTTCTACATAGTTAAGAATTAAATATAGTTTTTTTGCATTCTAATATGAATTATTTATAAATTGTGAACTTAAAATAATTAATCATTATCTTAACTCAGATTTTAAATTTAGTTACATAAGATTTAAGTTTTGTAACAACTCAAAATACACAAAATTATTTAAGATGTAAGTTTTTTCTTCGTAAAAAAATACATACACATATACCACATGTTCTAAAAATAATTCAAATAACTAAACTATTATATTCTGGTTTCATATTTATTTTTTTAAAGTCTACCTCTTCAATTTTAATATAAATATATTATTATTACTATTTTAAAAAAATTATATATATATATATATATATATATATATATATATATATATATATATATATCAACAATAATCACTATATTATAATATATCACATATTTTTCAATCATCACTTTTATGCTCACATACCTCGCAATCATTTTTTTATATTTTCAAATATATAAAGATACCAAAATAACAATTAAAGAAATATAAATAATTTGACTATCTAGAATCACTTAAAGATATGTTAATTAATATCTTAAAAACATTGTTTTAGCTTATTAACTTAATTATTCGCTCAGCGAATTAAGCACATGTATAAATTTACTTAATCATAGTTTTGATCATTCAATTAAAATACTAAACATAAAAATAAAGTAGAACAAAACTCTTCATATTCCTAAAACATTTTAGCCTAAATAGACTAAATACTGTCTCTCCAAAACTAAAGGATCTATTTAAGAATGTATTTGTTCATATTTTTATATTTATTATTCAATCCATATTTTTTTATTTATTATATTTATTATCCAATGAGATATTCTTGATGTATTATTTATTATAAAAAATAATATTGGTAATAATTCTATAAATTAGATTATTTTATTTTGCACCGTACATTTTAATATACATTTCTTTATTATTATAATTTTCATAATTTTATACATCATAGTTTTTATAAGTAGATATCTCACTTTTTGTTTTAGAGAATAAACATAGCTCAACAACATCGATTCATAATTGTTCATGATAAAAATTAATATATCTGACTAGTTTATTTGCCATTTATCATGTTTTTTTATTTATTAAGAAACTAAAAACTAATTTCTTTTATCTCAATTGCAATTTTTAAGAGTTTAAAAACCATAAAAGGTCCTAACTTCATAAGAATTTAAATTTTGGTAAAAAAAAATATTAATTAATAAATTGAGTATGTTTAAATAATCATAAACTAATTAAAAATCACTTTGTACAATGAAAGAACTATTAGCCCACATAATAAAAATGCTCTAATACTGGATAAAAAAATTTACTCAATTTAAGATTCTTAATCGACAAGAATGTTCATCTCCACTCCAAATTTATTAGGATGGAGAATGATTTTCATGCTCACATCACTAACATATCACATTTACACACGTTCAATTAACATATGTCAACTCATTAATTTTTCTATCACCTCAAAATATATTTATTATTTCTCTTTTAATTTTCTCTATTTGTAATTAATTTTTCACAAGTAGATTAAAAAAAATATATTTTTAAATTATATTAAAAATAATTTAAAATATATTCATAAATTTATTTTGAATAATAATATATTTTAGTTTATATCTAAATAAAATATATATTTAAAATAAAATATTTTTTTATATATTTTAAACATTTTAAACAATGATAAATATTTTACAAACGATAAATAATTTATTTAGTTAATTAGGTAACATGTTTTTTATGATAAGCATAGTATAATTTAACATTTTTAATAAATAATTAACTTTTAATTTTTTTAAATTTAATATACTACTAAATTCACACAATCAATTATTTTTCATATCAATTAATTTATTATTGGATCGACGATCATATTATTTATAACTTTTAAAATATTTAACTTAGTTTAATATTAATTTATTTTAATTATTAATTTACTTCAAAATATTATTTTTAAATTTGAAAGTAAGTGAAAATAATGAATTGAAATAAACATATAATTGAAATAACCATTTGAATTGGAAATACTAAGACAAATAAATAAAGTAAATTACTTTCCTATTATATCTAGGGATGGCAAAACGGGCTAGGCCCGAGTGGAATCTAGCCACGTACAACCCGCCATAATATGGCGGAAGCGGGTTGGTGTTTTCAGCCCACTCAGCCGCGCTTTGGCCTGTCCCGCCAAGCCCGCCAACCCGCTCGGCCAACTCGCAGGACGGGCGGGCTAGCCCGTGGCCCGCCTAATTAATAAAAAAATATTTTTTTATTGTAATAAAATTAATTATAAAGATAATATAAAAAGTTAAAAATTTTAAAAAGAGAATTAAAAAAGTTTCATTCTCACAGAAAATATTCTCCTTCCCGAAATATAACCTTCTCTCCTGTTCTCCTTATTTATCCTAAGTACTTGATTATATTTATCCTTATTACTTGAATTAAAGGTATAAAAATTACTCAACCAAGTATAATATGAAGTTTTATCAAATAAAAAAGATATAGGTATTTGAATTTTTTAATATAAAAAATATAAATTTTATAAGTTTAACGTTATTTATATATATATATATATATTTGTTATTATTTATTATTATGTAAATTTTATTATTGTTCTAAATTATAATTTCTTAAAATAATATATTGATATATATATATATATATTGAATTATTGACAAATAAATAATAATCTTATTATTAAATTTATTAAAAAAAATTATTTTTTTAAATTATGATGACTGACCATGACCATCGCAACCCGCCTTAGCAGGTGAGCTAAAGTCTACGACCGTCATGACTATATCGAGTCAGCCATGCCAGCTTTTAGCGAGCTAAAGGCGGACAGTGACTGGCACTGTTTTGCCATCCCTAATTATTTCATTATTCCAATAACCTCTACATATGCACCTCACCTCTATAGCTTCATATGTTTTCTTTATATTTTGACTAAGTATTACTTGTGTATAAAAAAATAAAAATCACTACATTAATTTAAGATATGGCATTATGCGATAATTTTGTCTTAAAAAATATCTTAATATAGATGAAGGAAGAGAAGTGTTTGTGTTCTATGTAGTGTAAAAAATTTGAATAATTTTATGAAATTTATTCGTGTACGGAAATATTACTTACTATTATAATAATAATAATAATGAAATGTTTAATTTGATATTTGAAAAAAAAATCGACATTATAAGTAAATAAATAAATAACTGTATGAATATTTTATATATAAGAAGGCACGGAGCCACGGCATGGAATCCTAAGTTGAAAAGGAATTGCAATGAAGTAATAATGAAAACCACATTTAGATAATTTGTCAAAGTTGATGAAAGAGATAGTTACTTACCTTTCCAGAATCGTTGGGTTTTCTGTGCATACAGTATGTGGCATGTCTCTTCTACATCCAACCATGCTATGCATAATTCCAGCTCGATCAAGATAATAAAAAGAACGATTTGATGAAGTAGGTACGTAGGTTCCTCCCAAAGATTTGTGATTAGTTTATGAGCCTTTGAAACTGTGTATAAAAGAATTCAGAGGAAAACTTGGTTCTTGGTGTAACCCACAAAGCATGATTGAAGGGTTAGTTCTCTAGAAGGTGTGTTGATAAACAAAATTTGCATTTAAACCTGGTGATGCATGGGAAGTGATTGTTATAAGTGGTCCCTTGTTAAGAGTGCAGAGTGGAAGCTAGAGGGAAGTTTAGGGCATAGAATTGGAAGAGTAGGGTATATCTAGGGAGTGTTAATCATAAATTGAGAGACCTCAATTTATATTCCCCAACTGCTAAAAGGCATCATCGTGTTGTCAGTGGTCCAGAGTGGTTGGTGCAGTTCATAACAATTTAATTAATATCTACATGACCACATTTAAAAAAAGTGAAAACACAAAACCACACTACTGTGTACTAGGACCAAACCCTATGTATGCCCATCTCTGTTTCAACTACCACCTAATTTTTCGCCGCACTGTATGTCTCGGTCCATCCTTCCAAAACTTCAATTTCACCTTCTTATCTCAACTTACTCAATGCATTAATAAATAGTTAGGGCATCTCAAATAATTTTTTTTATAAACAAATAACATCAATTAATTAAACTGAATACAATAATTACTCAGATTCCAAAAATAAAATATAAAATAAAAAAAATTAATAAAAATATATTAAACAAAATAGATTCAAGGATTATTGACCAGTCTACAAGTTTACAAAACATTCCCACTAGCTGAAGAAATATAATTATTATGTTTAAAATTTTAATTTATATCTTTTTCTTATAAACAATTTTAATAATAAATTTTTTATTATTTTTTTTCTTATCTCATTTTAATTTAGTGAACTCTACTATATATATATATATATATATATATATATATATATATATATATATATATATATATATATATCATGATATTAAGAATTTTAGTGCTATATAATATTGTAATTCTCTATCCAAAAGAACTTATATCACATGTCATTTTTTTTTTACTAAGAAAAAACTTGTATATCTTATTTTCGTCCCCGTCTTTTTGAAAATTAAGATTCACAGATGAATACGTACGACTAAAACCAAAAGAAATACAGACAGTTCAAAATTATTTAACAGACTTATAATTTTATTAAATAATTATAAATTATTATAATTCTATTTTGAAAGCTTTAAAATAAGTTTCATTTCGTTGACAGCCATTATCATTTAGTGTAAACTACAAGATGCTATTTGTAATTTCTCTACATACAATTTCTTTATCTTATCACAGGAAAAAAAAATCAAGTTAAAAAAAATTAAGATAATCAATTTAAAAAAGGTCAAATTACTTATTTAAAAGGTCGTAAGAAAAATTGTCTACTTCAAACCCACGCACACGCGCGTGTTCTAGAAATGGATACATCATGCATACATAACCCAAGTTTAATAAGTAACATGTGTTTTATAGAAGCTGAGAATGATAGTGATGAGATTATGCTTGCAACTAAAGATTTTATTTATGTTCATTATTTTTTTAAGCATATTTTACAACAATTTATATCTTTTATCAAGAGTCACTCCGTCCCTTTGAATAAAATTTCGATTGAAGTTATATTTGATTTTTATTTTGAATTCTAAATATTTAAAAATTGAAATGAGAATGAATTATAAATATATTATATTATTTTTGAAAATTTTAAGGTTTAATAACCATTATAATGTCATGATTTAATTTTTAAAATGGGAGATGTTTCGTTAATGAATAATTTTTACATCGTTTAAGATATTTGACCAAAATAATTTATATATATTTTTCTCTACTAACTTATTAAAATATTTGTTAAGACAAAATCACCAAATAAAATTTTAAAATGGCTCGAAAATTATCTAAAAATACTATCGTAACAAGAGATCGGCTCAAAATACATGACGATACATATTTATCCAGCCTTGTAACTATTTTTTAATAATAATTTTATACTTGTTACCACTTTTGATATAAGTTTTTAAATTAAAAATGCTTAAATCTTAATTGAGGTAAACTATATTGTAAGATATTAAACTTTATTAACCATATTATGATTTATTAAAAACGATATATTAATAACTTATTATGAAAAAAATTGCTAGTAATTTTGTAAGTCTAAGTGTAAAATTGTATATTTTATATTAAGCCTTGAACATGGAATTTCTAAGGATTTTAGAATTTTTAAATACAATCATGATTGTTACCAAATAAACCATTAATTGATTATCTACTCTTATATTATAAATATAATACATAATTTCCTTACTATTTTGTTCCTTTGAAGTTCAAACAACCAACAACAACCTCTCTTATCTATTCTCATTTTATATATATTTATAATTAATATTTTTAACTACAATTATTTAAATTTAAAATAATATTATATCACATTATTGTAAATAAAAATAATTCATTTATTAAAGATATATTATGTATTTTATTTATATAAAAAAACATTAATGTTTAAATATAAAGAACATTAAAAATATAAATTATAAAAGAATATTTTAAAGATCCACCAAACTGATCCAATGAAGAAAAAAACTCCAAAAAAATTAAATGCAAGAAATAGGGGTCCCTACGTGGTGGCTGGTGGCTTCGTGGAAGATGAAAAATGGTTAGTCAAACAGCGCACACGTACATAATGAGCACAAACCAGTTCCATTCCGGTTTGACGATATATCTGTTTTGTTTTTCCCCTTCTTCATGGCTGAAATCAGAAGCATGGAAATCTAAACCAACCGGTTCTATTTTTCTACCCGTGAACCTAGCCTCTCATCATCACTCAATTTTCTTGTTATCATCATACCCTTTAGCTAGTCTTTTCTTTCTCTCAAGATCATTGACAAAGCAAAAGAGTGAAGAAAAGTGGCACAATCAACATCGTGGTATGGTACACATGAAGAGACGAGAAAGAATGAAAAGGGTCATAGTGGTGATGGAGAAGTGTTATAGGTATTGTACAAGCCAAGGTATTGGCGCGCCTCAATTTGAAGACATGGTTAACATGAAAACCAGCCATGTGGTTTTAATTGAGCCGCGTCAATATCTCATCTTGCACTTCTTTCCATCTCCAATCCTCCCTGGTATGTTCATTTTATTTGTTCAGTCTTCATGTTCTTTTATTGCTTAATTATACCCTTTTCCTTAATTATTTTCCTGTGTTACACATGGTATAATACAAGGTTTTGATGTGTTCAAGCTATAACTTCGTGTAAACTACTTCAATCTGATCTTTAGGTCAACCTAGAGGGTTACATCCATCTGTTCTTTTTGTTTCTTATGTGAAGAACCTTGTTTCTCCCCCTGTCTTTGTCTACCCTGGCAATCAAACAAATTAATTCTATGTATTTATGCAGAAAAGAAAATCAAGCCTTTTTTATATTTCTATAGATGATGAAAAGGCAGATAGATATGGAAGCATATATTATATAACCATTGGTGCATAAATATGAGTTTAGATGGCTGGTGGGAAACTTAGCTATTCCAAAGAAGACCCTTTCTCAGCTTGAGAAATTGGAACTAGGATGAGAGATGTGAGCGAGTTATTTAAACAGAAGAGTTAATGAAGGTATTCACTAAAAAGCAGAAGAATTATGAAACACACTATGTCTAGGTTACTATGTTAGGTAGGATGTATAGATATTGATCTTGATTACAAAATCTCTATTGTTTCTTAGCCACCAACTTTTCTTCTCCACCTAGATATCGGTATCTTTGATTTTGTCTTCTCACCTCTATGATTAACCCTGGGAATCACAATGACTACCCCACGAGTATTCAAAGCTTCTCCTTCCTCTATGCACGTTGCTATAGTTTAACAATTATATGATGGAGAACTAATGCATATATATATAATGCTTATTAACGTCAGCAAGAGTAGGTAAACTTGGCGTATCAGGTCGGCCATAAGAGCTTGCACTATCCATATTCTATTGCATTATCTGTTAAGCTTAAAATAGAGAGAATCCTAAAAAAAAAGAAATATAACACTGAAATTAACATTAAATAGAAGGGGTGATAAGAGAAAATAAATATGGTCCAAATCATAATTTTAATTACTCTCTAAAATTTGAAGTGATCACCTACTCACATATCCTCTTCACACAGCAACAAAATCTTACTACACTATGAGTTCAACTTACTCGAAATCGTTTGGTCGAATTAAAAACCAAAGACTAGATTTCTAACTAGGTTTCATAGCTGGTTAAAAACTCAGAGGGTTGTGTTATACCTCCCACAATATGATATACTGTAACATGAATGGCTCAGTAGGGTGGAAAAAACATTTTCACTTTGTAGATTTTACAATTATCTTCTTTGATGATGTACTTATACAAAGAATTAATGTGATGTTCTCTAGCTACTCATCTGAAATACTTAATGTCCCGGATGTCCATGCCAGTTATGTCAAACAATAAATATATGCACGAAGAACTATAAATTCTGTGCTATGTTGAGGGGGTGGGGGTTGTTGTACCACAAGTGAGGGATACTGATGATATTTAAGCGAGAGAAGAATGATGAGAATGATGTTAGGGACTGGTTACAGGGAGGGGACACAGGGAGAATTAATGAAGGGAATCAAACAACCCTTCATGGTTGAGCTATTCACAAAGTTAGCTACTGAACCTCTTCAAAGTGCAAACTCAAGTGGGGCCTTTTTTTTTTTTTTTTTTTTTCTCTTGTTTGTGTTTGCATTAACTCTCATACCTTAAGTTGTGTCCCCATATACATAGCTAGCGGCGGGGCAGGCATTGTGAATTGTGATGTTTCTCCAACTATCCTGTCCTTTTGAGATTCCAATTAACTCATGCAAAATCTGAAAAGGAAAACGGAAAAAAAAAATGGAAAAAGAATCAATTAGGGTTTAACTTTATGGTCAACATGGAGAGAAGGGAAGTTCAATTTTGAGAAGATGAGTTCAATTTCAATCTAGTGGTCCACTAGGCAATTGCTATTCATGCAGTTTCAGTCACAACTAATTTCTATTATAACCTTTAAAATAGCTTACAGTAAAAATTAAGTTTTCTCCAAATTAAGTTTGACGAACTTGAGAGGTTGACCTAATTATATGTCTATAAAATTTAGGTTTGAAATTAAATTAGTCTAACCTAACTTGTTTTGAAATTCTGTTAGCTCCATGCTAGCTGTTCCATGGTAGACCTGACCAGCCCATTGATCCTATTTATATACTGAATTTAATGTGTTTCACTTTTTACTTTCAACTCATATCATACAAACTTTTTTTTCAGTTTTAATTTCACAACAAATAGGCTAATGATAATATCAATCTTTTGATGCAATTTCTACAAATAAGTTAATAATAGTAACTATCTTTTAATGCAATTATTTTGAAAGAAGATGAAGATGATAAATTTCAAGGATGTATATAAAAAGTGTCATGTGATGAGATTCTTATGTCAATATATGAAAGTTATCTGTTTTTATTATTAATGGAGTTATTACAACTTCTGAAAATAATATATAGATTAAATAATTAAATCCAATGTAAATTATTAGAATATATAATTAATATTTTGTAAAAGAGATTATTTTATATAAATATTATAATTACAAAAATAAAATATTGTATCATTTATTATACCATTTATATAATAAGCAAAAGCTGAAAAGGATTAGGTTAGATTGAAAAGTGATTATAATTTATAGTAAAATTGATTAGTTTTAATTATTATATATTTTCACTATATAAAGATTATCGTAAATGGAACACATGTGAATTATGTAAGATAATATTTAACTATTTTTAATTCAAAATTAAGATGATTTTTTGACACTTATCTATTGACCTGAATTGATAAATCTACCGAGAAGATAATATACTTGTAAAATAGTTTTGGTTCCTTTGATTGAAAGGGAAGCATATATGAGTGATGGTAGAAGTTGAAAGACTTGACACCTCTTTCTTTATGTCAATATAAGCAAAAACAATGACGTGAGAGGAACATCATATCTAATTTCCTTTTTCTTTTTGGTCATTCTTGCGTTTTACATGTTCTCACAAGTTGATGATTTCATTATAAGCTTCCTCTCTCCTACCTTTCTCATCACTCCAAACAAAATCATGATCAGAAGGCCCACTAAAGCAGATTCGTTTCGATTTAGACAAAATTAGAGTCATTTTTATTTGGTGTCTTCTTTCTTCCTTTCCTATTTTTGGTATTTACTAGAGAAAATGACAGAAAAAAAATAATAATTAAGGATGATTGTATATGCTTTTACTTAGTCAAAAAAATTAAGAAAATATTGACTTTTGAAAAAATTTCTCAATTCAAAATTGTAATTCTCTGCTTTCTTTGCTGTATACTAATAGATTCAGAAAGTCGTTTCTCACATCTTACAATTTTACTAAATAAATTCATTAAAATTAAAACCAGAAAATCTTACTCTTTATTTTCTTCATTTATGCTCTTTGAACCAATTTAATTTAAAATGTTTTATTTTTTTTATTTTGACAAAAATAAATTTTTCATTTTTATAGAAAGATTGTGATGGCTAACATTGTTTTGACCTCGTTACATGGATTGATGTTGTGGTTGAAATTGTATTCCACATATAGTGAAAATGTTTGATAATAAGATAATGGTTAACATGGTTTTGGATTTGTACATTTTGATAAACTTGGTTTTAGTATCTTATTTAAAAAAATATTAATATATTTTTTACTACACAACTTACCTTATAATTCAAAAAATAAAATTTAAATTATATAAATAAATTATTGGGGGGGGGGGGGTTATACCACTACCTATTAAAAAATATATGCATAAATAAATTGAAAAAAAAAAAGTTACACGTAATACTTAAAAAAAATTACTTGATATAACTATTTATTATTTGTGCATTGTTCTAATATGAAGCTATGAATAAATTGTTTTATTTTTATTTGCAAAATTTAAATTTATATATTGAAAAATAATAAGGAACAAACATAACACTACAAAAATACTAGAAATATTGACGGTCAAAATCGTAGAAAATATTTTTATTATTTTATATTATTTACTTATTTATAGTCTAAACCTAGTATCTTAGAGTTGGAGTCCGATACTCCAACCACTAAGTTACTAAATTTTTTAATAATAATTTATAAATAAATTATATTTATATACAAATAAATGTATATCCATGTAAATATATAAATACAATATATTTATATATTTATATATTTTGATATATTTATATATAATTAAATATTTATTTTTAAAATTATTTAATTTAATAAATTATTATAAATCAATCTAATTATGATTAAATTAAATTATTAAATAAAAAATATTTAATTTTTTAATTAGGTGAATAATTAATTTATTAAAATATATTTAAAAGGAAGTAATTATTATATAATTTTACCGACGGATATATTTATTGGTATCTAACCGTTAACTTATCGACGGATATATTCGATAAATAATCGTTAATTTATCGATGGGTATATCCGCACGGTAAGACTAAATCCTACAAATGATTTATATTCAGTCAGTAATTTACGTCTGTAATGACTCATTTTTCGATCGGCTACAAATCCATCGGTAAAAATCCATCAATAAAACTAATATAAAATGAATTTTCTCTTGTATTTATTTTGGTTCATCAATATGTATTTCACATATTTTATATAAGATTTCAGTCCATAAACTTTACTTTGACTACTAAGTTAATATAACAAATTTAAAAATAATTAATATTGATTTAAGCTTCATGAATGATTTGGTATCACGATATTTTCTAAAAAAAATAGAAATTTAAGAATAAGTAGATGAATTTTCAATAATTTCCTTTCATTTCAAGTAAGAAGTAAATAATAAATTATGAATAATAATAATAATAATATATAAATAATTCTTATATAATATAAATAATATTTAATTATAAATTGTTATTTTGAATTTTATTCTATTAAAAGTTAAATTGTTATATATATATATATATATATATATATATAAGATTTAATTGAATCAATTATTATAAAAATATAATAAATATATAATTGTAAAAATTTATTATTATTATTATTACTATTATTATTATAAGTTCTGTTTATAATAAACACATTTAATTAGAAAATGAACCTAATTGATATTACAAAATTTGAGATGGAAAAGAAAAACATTAACTAAACCAATGTTTTTTCAAATTTGTATTTTATCTATGTAAAGGCTATTATTCCTTACTTACAAAATTAACTCTAATTATATTATATTTACTAACTTTCATAACAATTATTTTAGTTATTTAAATACAAAAAATTAAATGGTTTAAGTATTCTTCATAAAAACTCGTTTATATATATATATATATATATATATATATATATATATATTAGAAATTAAAATTAATTAAATATCAAACTCAATAAAATAATTAACATCACATGATTCAAATGTAAACACTAACGCGCTATTTGTTTCCACTATAAATAAAAATGGTGACCTTTTATAGAAGCAAAGAAGGATGGAGCGTGAAACGTGTGTTACTTTTATATTTTTATGAATATAAACAATGCAGCTAAACTTTAACAGAAAAAAAAATTGTTAAAAAGGCTGATTCAACAAATGACACTAAAATAAATCCACCAATGAGTTGGTAGATTCTGATAGATTATCATAAAAAAATTATTATTTCTGAATTAAAATATTGATTTGACCTGAATAGTTTTTTTCTTTTAAGTGAATTTATATAGAAACTCCAAGTCCATTAATTAAAGTGAAGTCAACATATTTCAAATTGAAAAATTATATATATATATACCTGCTTCATAAAATTATATTTCTTTAACCACTATGAATTGAAAAATAATAATTTTGTAGAACAAAATCACGTAGGAAAGATAATTCCCACCAAAACCTTAAATTAATCAAGCATGAAACATCATGAAACAAAAAATTGACTTCTATTTCTTTTTTGTTACGAATACATTAAAAAAATAAACTCCGAATTTTCCTTGAGCCTGGAGAATTAGATGGAATTAAACTCTAGGAAACGGGCCCGAACTGCTAATGGGCCGGTAGTGTGAACAAATCCGAGTGCAGAAGTTTTGGGTATTGCTAGTGGCACTTCTCAAAATGCTATTATTTCTAGTTCCCACCTATTTATAAATTTATTCCTCAAATTTTAACATTTCATAACACAAAAATAAGTTGTTATCATGTAAAAATGTTTTTATTGTGTTATCTAGCATAATTTTGAAATATGAATAGTGAGTTTGACGGTCTCTACGAAATAAATTATTATTAAGACATTGATAGAAATTGTTTATAATTGGAAGCAATTGAGTAATGTGATTAAGGACCTTAAGCACAGATAAACTAAATATTTTTTTAATATAGTTTATATGTAAAATAAAGTGGCATCATAATAATTTAAATCCTACATCATTTAATTAGGAGATACAAATTATTATTGCTTATGTCAATTAATATTTGTAAATAATTTATTTTTAAACCAATCAAACATTAAAAAAATCTACATAATCATTTTGAACTCGTAATTTAAAACAAAAAATCTTGAAAAGATTTAAGATAGATAATAATACATATTTAATACGATTTAAAATTAGTGTAAATTACTTTATCAATTGTTACAATATTTTTCATATGGAACATACAATTTAGCCATTTACATTAATGTAAATTTATATATCTTATTTACTAATATTATATTATACTAATTTGTTATTGTGATTCTTTTTTTCTATGTATGTAAACGTATTATTGAAAATGTTAATCGTTGTATTTTATTAGAATTTAAACATAATTTAAAGTTTGCTTTTTTTATTTTTATATTTATTTTTTAATGTTTAAAATCAATGCAATGATGTTTTTATTTTAGATTATTGGGTTATAAGTCATAATATTATATTTATTTGATAATATTTATCTATTATCTAGTTATTATTGTTATTATTAATAATAAATAAATAAATAAATTATGAATATTGGTCCAATTCTGTTTAGTCTGCTATTGAATCGTTATTTTACTGTTTTAATAATCAATTGAATTCTGAAACAATTAGTATCTATATCAATTTGTGTTAGAATATACAATAAAATATATCTCTGGATATATATAATTTTAGTGTGTATATTATCCTATGCACAACACAATGTAGATAAGATTTTGTTGAAATATACAATATTTATTTTTTCTACATTTCAACAAATAATTTTTTTGTTTGTGTTTTTTTTCTATTTGTACTTTTAAATTAATGAATGCAGTTTTTTAATTTTTTAATTATTTAATTTTTATCATTTTTACACCTAATTGAATATTCAGTAATAATTTTTTATTGTCGTAAAACTGGTAAAAGTTAATAAAAAGATTAAATTTATGTTTTTTATTTTTTAAACTAATTTATTATTTTTTAAATTGCAGAGAATTACAATAAAATTCGGCTAAAATGACTAGAACTAAGATTAATGTTTAACCGAAGGTTTTAATATCAAGTTGGGGGGTGTTAATAAGAATGGCCTAAATTTTTCTTCTTGGGTTTGACAGAAAATTTAAAAAGAAAAAGATAATGAGAATTTGGAACAGTGACAGACCCGACAACCTGTGGAAAATAAGAGGAAGACATGTCCTCACTTTTCCTCCACCGATCCAAAAACAAGAAAAATAAAAGTAAAATAAAATAACAAAATGAATTATCCGACTCCACTTTCAATATTGTCCACCCTTCTCATACCTTAAACCGTTCAAATTCTCAGAAGCCATGGTCGTAAATCTCTCTCCCTCTCCACCTATACATTCCAGTTCCATAATCAGACTGGCCAATTCGAAGTCACCCATTTCAGAACCTTGGTTTAGGCTCAAAACCCACTTCCCCAAACCACTTCTCTCCCCTTCTTTTGCCTCCCCCAGCCTGAACTTCGTTTCCAAGAAGCAGGTTTTGCATGGCAACAGCAGGAACAAGTTGGATTGTAGGACTTGGTCTATTGCTGGATTTGATTATGGGAACTTTGAGGGGCCTCAGTCTGTGCTTGAGGCTGCTGCAGTGTTGACAGCCATCATTGTTGTGCATGAGAGTGGTCACTTTCTTGCTGCTTCTCTCCAAGGCATCCATGTGAGTAAGTTTGCTGTAGGCTTTGGTCCAATTTTAGCAAAGTTTAATGCCAAAAATGTGGAATATTCCATCAGGGCTTTTCCTCTTGGTGGATTTGTGGGCTTCCCTGATAATGATCCAGAGAGTGAAATTCCTGTTGATGATGAGAACTTGCTTAAGAACAGACCAATATTGGATAGGGTGATTGTGGTTTCGGCTGGTGTTGTTGCTAACATAATTTTTGCATTTCTTATTATCTTTGCTCAAGTCCTGTCTGTTGGTTTGCCTGAGCAAGAGGTCTTTCCTGGGGTGAGTGTGCCTGATGTTAGACCCTTTTCAGCTGCCTCCAGGGATGGATTGCTTGCTGGGGACGTGATCCTTGAGGTCAATGGAACTGAGTTTCCTAAACCAGGTCCTAGTGCTGTTTCTGAAGTTGTTGAGATTATCAAGAGGAACCCTAAGAGATATGTTTTGCTCAAGATTAAAAGGGGGGAGCAGAATTTTGATATAAAAGTCACCCCAGATGAGAGTTATGATGGAACTGGGAAAATTGGAGTGCAGCTAGCCCCTAATGTTAAAATAGCTAAGATTAAGCCAAAAAATTTGGGGGAGGCCGTGGAGTTTACTAGGAGAGAGTTTTGGGGTCTAACATCTAATGTTTTAGATGGGTTAAAGCAAACATTCTTAAACTTCTCCCAGTCAGCTAGTAAGGTTTCAGGTCCTGTGGCCATTATTGCTGTTGGTGCCGAGGTGGCAAGGTCGAACATCGATGGTCTCTTCCAGTTTGCTGCAATACTCAACATTAACCTTGCGGTTATAAACCTTCTTCCTTTGCCTGCTTTAGATGGAGGTACATTGGCATTGATCCTCGTTGAGGCTGCCAGGGGTGGGAGAAAGCTTCCTTTGGAAGTGGAGCAAACTATCATGTCGTCTGGAATTATGCTTGTTATAATTCTTGGGTTATTCCTTATTGTTCGTGATACCCTAAACCTTGATTTTATCAAAGACTTGTTGTAGTTATAGTGAACTGTAGTTAGTAGTGGGCTTCAAAAAGTATTTCATGATCCTCATCTGCAGTGCTGTTGCACCAGTGCCTTAGCCAGTGGTATGTAGAGGAGGCAAGATCATTTTTAATGATTGAGGTAAGTTTTCTTCCTCCAAGGATGTTATGTGAGAAGCATCCCTTTGTTACCAATTCATTGATCTGATCCGGATTGGATTTGTGATCCTCGAATATAAACTTACAAGTTACAAATACTAGTTCTGATTATGAAATTTAATATCTTATCTTTGCATTTTCTTTGGAATTCATAGATCTGCACAGTTTATAGGTTACTATTTTGTTATGAATTCCTCTATAGATTTCATTAATTTGACTATGCTTCAATAAAGAATTATCACAAGGCAAAATCTCTGCTTTAATCTTCTGGAATTGATGTACACTTTCTTTTCTTTGCTAATGAGAAAGTGATGCCGTATTTATAAAAAAGAGTGTCCGATATATGTCCAAAACTAAATTGTTTAACATTAATTGCAATAACTTCTTTGCTACATCACATGTTCTGCTATGAACTAGGTCATTTTGTATGCAATTCCTCTTCCAAAGAAATGAGCTGAGGTACAAAGGTCAAGCAATGTATCCTTGTTCTTCCAAAATTTTCTGTTAGCTAGCCAAGGCCTTCACATGAAACATAGAACATAGAACATAAAAGAGGCGAGTGTAATTTCTCAACACAGTGTATTTACTTAACTAGTTTGTAGGTGGGTTAGAGTAACCGGCCCAGAAAAAAATGGCTAAGAATGAATAGGGGGACTTGATTTTCAACAAACTATTTTCTACGCCTTCTACCAGTTACCTTGTTAAGGATTGGTACTGCTAAAGTCCTAACTCAGACGAATGCGCTGCGCTTCCACTTCGGCATCAAGCTTATCTTAACAATGTTTGGTCAACAATAGTCCATAGTTCAACAATGAAAACTAAAATAATTAAACCAATATTTTTCTTTAGACAAGCACAAATTAACTAAAATTATAACGAATTCAACAGACATATCTCACTGCATTTTCCATCCAAAATTTTGAAGTTATACCATGTTAAGACTTAGATTCGTGTACAAGATTGAGATTATTTAAAATGAAGGAAAAAATAATAAAAAATAGTAAATGGTTAAATAATTAATTAATTGAGTAGGCCTATAATGGATTAAATTTCAAACTTATGTGTCATAATTCATTTATGAGCAAATTAATCAACATCTTTCTATAACTAAATAAAAAAATGTGAAGAAAGTGTTAAACTAACTACATTTAAAAAATCTAGACTTTAGAAATCTAAACTGTGTTTCCTTGACGTAGTTGACTTCGCCAACATTCAAATTCATGATTTAGAAGTTTCACGTCAAAAACCACTTTATAAGCATCGTTTTAAAATTGTCAAATTGCATACAAAAATGAGTTGAAAATTGAAACTATCATTGCAATTTGGTGTTCAACTGCGTCAGTTTGGCAGGTTTATCTCCGGACAAGGCATCTTCAAAATTAGGGAATATTTTAGAAAATAATAACATCTCAAATTTTCTTCATGAATTTCTTCAAGTTTTATTTTGTACTACGCCCACTGGAATAAAACATAATTGTCTTTAGTCACTTTACTGTAAATATTTTTTCATAACGATAATATGACGACGAACCCAATTAAAAATAAATACAATTTTAGAGATTTTTCCTGAGATAAACCAAAAATATAATAATTTTTCCCAAATAGATCCTGCCAAAATATTTACACAACAAGAATCTTTTTTTTGTCAATTTAGAATTCAGTTATCAAGGAATCAAAATTCTATATAAATTTTGTTCGTCTGAAAAAAAAAAAAGAGAGTCAGAATTTCATTCCTCGATGTGTTTGTTTTAAAAAAAAAAGTTTAAAATATTTTTAAAAATATTGAAAATAATTTTTAAAAATTGAAAAAATTAAATATACATATTTAAAAAGTTTATTACAAATTTATAATATTAAATTAATTAACTAATTACTAGAATTTATACTCTATTTGAAATTCATTATTATTAATGAGTATTGTTATTGATTATATGCATCCAAAATGTAATTTAAAATTTTAGTAAAATTATTTAACAATAAATATTTCATTAATTAACTACATTAAATTACTTAATATATTAAAATATTATATTATATAATAATAATTATTATTATTTATTTATTTGTGAAAATACAGATATTAAATTAATTGTGTGTCCATATTTTTTATAATTAATTTTTTAAAATATGATTTTAAAGTTTATTTTATTTTTTTCTACTTTTTAAATATACCTATTTTTTCTTTTATATATTTTTACTATTTTTTAAATATATAAGTTATAATAACAGTTATTCTTTAAATTATAATATTCTTATTTTGTTCTCCTATAACACTAAATTTACAGTTCTTTTATATATAATTATAGATTAATATTTTTTTATTAATTAAAATACAAATACTTTAATATTAATTTAAAATGTATAATTTATGAAAATAATAAAATAAGATATTATATTATATTAATATTATTTTATACATTAATATTGCAATCAATAATTAAAATTATTATTTTATATTAATTAGTTTTATATCAAAATAGGCCTAATCCAACCTATTTCTATCATATGGGTTTAAGTTAATTAGTTCATAGGTTTATGAACTAACTAATTTTATAACATAATAATTATTTTTAAAATAAAAATAAGAATAATATTATTTTAATAAAAAAATATACATATATTACATATTAGTTTAACAAGAGATTCACTCATATAAAGAATAAATAAAGAATAAATATCAGTATAAATATATATTAACCACTTATTTCAAGATCTAAGAACAATTACTATTTTAAATTAATAAATTACTAAAAAAATAATGATAATAAAAATAAGCTCCTCATTATTATTTTAATTTCAATTCTTTATAAAAATTATTTTTATTAATAAAATTTAAATTTGATTTTTTTTATTAATTTTTTATTTAATTGATTATATATATATATATATTAAAAAAATAGTCAAGCTAAAATTGATCTTGATTGACCATAGGTTTAATTTTAGTCCATTTTAATTTAAAATATAAATCAGATTAATTCATCAAATTTTTTTATTTATCCTAATAATATTATTATTATTATTATTATTATTATTATTATTATTATTCTATCTTGCTTATGAATAATCAAATATTTATAATTTAATAAACTAACTTAATATCCTTAAAAATTATTAACTATAAAATTTCAATTATTTAATAACTTTTCAACTATTTTCTCAAACACTCTTATATAATTTAGAGATCTTGTTTTTTCAAATTAAATGGCGTTTACAAAATAAATAGTTTATAATAAAAATTTAAAAAGTAAAAGATATACTGCAAAAATTGTTTACGATGAACTTAAGGAAAAGAAAAACTTCATTTATAAATTTTTAAATTAAAAGCTTAAATGTTATATAAAATGAAACAGTGAAATTATTAAAAAAAATTAGTACAAGTAAAAAGAAAAGTCAACTCCTTTGGCCGCAGACCACAAAGGAGAGAACAAGGAACTAAACAGAACACAGTAAAAGTGAAAAACTTAGTATAAAACCCAAACATTAGAAGGGGCTTTCACTTTATTATCGTGTCCTTCACTTCGCCGCTCCATCAAAACAAAAGGGTTGTACCCATTCGACCCCACCATCTCTATTCTGTACACTGCGGATCTCTTCTCTCCTCACCAACCCATCACAAAGGTACTCACTTTTTCTATCTGTATTTCATTTCTCTCTGCATTTCAGATGTGTACATGCATGAAATTTTTGAAAAAAAGAAAAGCCCTTTAACCTTAATTCATTAATACATAAATTCCTTAACAATTCGGGTGATTTCTTGTTTTTTATTTCATAACTTGATCTAAGCATGATCTAATGTTTATTGGGCATCCGAATGAAATTAGGTAGATAAATTCTTCAATCCCTTGCTCGGAATTTCTTGAGAGATCTCGTGTGTGAGGAATATTTTTAGTTTGATTCTTCTCACCAATTCATATCCCCCAATTTATTTTTCTTTTCTCGTGTTAAACCTTTGAATAATCGTATTGATTATCTGTCACGATCGACGGAAACGCGTGTACTTAGCATTAATTTGACCGCGTGAGACTTTGATTAAGATGCAGTTTTTTTTGCCCCCCTTTTTTGTCTTTTTATATTCGTCTCCTAATTTCCTTCTCCAATTCAGACTCTGAATCGATTGTTGATTAGAATCAGAGTGTGGTTGTTGAGTGAGTGACTGTCAAATTGATTTTTAAATTATTTCTAGCTAGGACTGGTTTTGAAGGTATGTGATTTACGTATGTGCAGAAGTATAAAAAAATTAATCAATGGAAACTGTTATCAATTTGATTCTAGAACACGCACAAGATGCTGATACGAGTGGTACTGTATTCGATCTCCTTGTGTGAATTCTCAAATTCAGATTTGTGAATAGGATAGACATAGTTAAGAGGAAGATCCTCTAGAGAAGATAGCAGAATTTCTAGATGGAAATTAGTCATAGATGAAACCGATATATATTTGGTAGCAAAAACATGGTTATAAAAAAATTGATTCTAGACTCAAGATAGCTAGATTTGTTTCAACTCAATCAATTCTAGATCAGAATTAAGTTATTCAATGTGATGTCAAGCATGTAAATATTTACTTTAAATCTGATGGCAAGTATCAGAGGTAGCTGATATCTCAAGGTGATTATTGATTTAAAAAATTCTAATGAATTGAAATATTTTGAAGGATAAAAGAAAATGGGGAGCAAGGCACCAAGTTGGTCAGACCAGTGGGGAAATGGAGGGTTTGGTAGTGAGCACTATGATTTGGAGGATGAGAAGATGAAGAAGAGCAGTGGAAGCAACAAGAAGATGGCAGCTGGTATGGATAAGGCCAAAGCAGCAGCAATTGTGGGTGCTGACAAGGCTAAGACTGCTGCTGTGGTGGGTGCACAGAAGTTGAAGGGTGGAACCTCTGCGGGAATCAAATGGGTCAAGAATCAGTATCAGAAAAGGACTTCCAAGTGAAAGTATCTCACTAGTCACTTGCTTCTTGGACAGTTTCAGTTCATAGCTTTGGTAAATAATACATCATGCTCTAGTAAAGTATTTTGCTTCTTTCTTTGCTATTTCCAGTACAACAATCCAGATTAGCCTGTTCTTTGTATTTTTCATCTTTTATAGAAAATTGTTGGATGTTTATCATGTTATCACTTTACCTTGAATGTTTCTGTTAGTGCTCATTGAACAAATTTTACAGTTTTTCACCATTTGTTCCAACACTCATTTTATATTGTAAAGTCCATATTCTGTAGTTTAGTTAATTTGGTCGCCCGATTCAAATATCAATATTTTACTTTTTACACAACCCACGTTACTACTGAAACAAACAATTAAACTAGGAGGTACATAAATTGGGCTGCATAGTTTAGTTTTTGTTTCTCACCTATACCAACTCAATATTAATGATAAACTAAATCATTAAAATTATTTTAGTAGTTCAATATATATTATTTTATTTTAGTATTTAGTACCCAAATTTTAAATAGCACAAACACGATGAGTTTAGGGTCTGAGTATAGGTTTTCTAAAACCTATTTTAACATAGATCTACAGATATCGAAATTTGACAAATTGATCATTATTTATCATAGATGACGGCGTAAAAATTGTATGTTGGGGATGAATAATTTATGTATTCTTAAGTTAGTTTAAAGTGTTTACACTTAATAGTTTGTTGAAGTATTTGTACGAAGACAAAACTTATCACACTTAAAACTTTTTTTGTTTTATTTTTTATCACTTTTATTTAAAATTTAAACTGATTTTACTTCAGAAATTTAAATTGGGTTGGTTTCTGGGTTTTACTGTTTTTTTCTAAGAAATAAATAAATTAAAATATAATAAAAATTAATTCAATGTAAATATCACGGGATATTTGGATTTTATTTTTATTTTTATTAAAACTTTATTTTCAATCTAAAATGTGAAAGTTACATAATTAACAAGAACAGGTGATAAAAAAATTCAAGTTAGCTATGAATTAAACTTGTAAAAACAGTCTATAGAAAAACAAAATGTGTTTTAAATAATAAGATTATTAAGAAAATAAAATGGTATGGCAAGTCCATTAATATCTGCTTACAAAAGTATTAGTGGTTGATAATAACTCTCCAAATAGAACTGTGTGTGCGACGCTTTTGCAATATTAAATTTGAATTGCAGTTCGATCTCATAAACTTTTAACTGTTTATACCCAATTTGATCATGATTTTCTCCAGTAGAAATTCTGTACTCAGTTTTTTTTTTTTGGGTTTTGCCTTTTCGTTTCAACTTTTATAGTTGACATTAGATTAAATTAGATTGTGTTCACCTTCTTTAATTAATAAAAGAACTTTATCCAAGTTCAATATAATCTAATATGATTGTACAAAAAACTAATATGATCAAATTTAATTTTATCTAAAATTGCTTATAATTAATCATAGATAATTATTATTAAGTAGGAAGACGGGGAGTGTGTCAATCTACATTTTAAAAAAATGCAATTAAAAATACGAATGACTTAAAATATTATAGAAAAAAATTAAAGATTTTTTTAAAAAGTTGTAAAAATAAAATAAAATACAAAATTATATACACAACTAGGTAAGTTGGATAACTTGATGTTGCATGACAATACATTTCAATTATCAACGAAGATTATTTTTCTGAAAACCATGTTGAACTAGGTTGTTAATACTTCTCTACCTACATGTGACTTGCAAGTTGCAAGCCATTAAATTTAAGTCAACTCAGAAAATTTTGAGCAACTTCTCTACCTACACGTGACTTGCAAGTTACAAGCGCTTGTTTTCAAGTCCTTCTTTCTCTTCCATTTTTTGTCAAATTTGATCGCAGAAAATATTTTACTCTTTAAAAAGATATGTAAAACATAATCGTATAACACTCATCAGAGATATGGGTCAGGAATCAAGGTGTGAACAAAGAACATATATACCCTTAAACATTAGCAATTTATGAGTGATAGAAACGCGACAGTTTTCAAATAACTTCCAGTAGACATAAAATAAACTTTACAATAAAAGCATCAAACCAGAGAATTTACAATTAAGCTGTCTTCTTCACATTGATCATTTTCAGGATGTTCTATTCAGATATGGTTTGCCTGTCATGTATTACTTCAGAACACAACCCCAAATGTGTTCTCTCCACTGTAAGTCATATATAGGAATCCATCTTCATCCTTGTTTTCCTCATATATTGCAGACATCATTGCCGCTGCATGAATAGAAAATAAATAAACCATAAGAACAAACATTACGTTGTGTATAACAAATATTCCACGTACAAACCCACAAAATCCATATAAATATTACCAGTTGGTGGTAAGATGTTCTTGACAAAAATGAAGATGGCCTTCTCAGGGCTCAGCTTGATTCTCTTCCTCACCACGTACACAAACTGCCCAACAGTCAAATCGGCAGGAACAAGATACCTACAGTAATACAGAATAGTGATATACACAATAAATAAAGGCGAAAGAAAGGAGATGAATTATGTATCCAGTTGAACAATTAGATGATTGTCAATATTCTCGAGATTCATATACTTTCACTTGCTAACACCTAAGCATTAGCTAGAATCCCAGTCACACCTAAGCTTGGCTAAAACCCCATTTCACTGTATGATCAAACTAATCAGTTACGATAGCCTCAAATACTGAAATTTGTGAACTTTTCACATTATCGGAATTACAAAAGCATCTACTAACTTGACTAAACATAGCAGCATCCCAAACAAATAGAAGCAAATATAACTCAAATCCAAGTAAAAGTTAGAAACTTTAAGTGCGTATGCATACTTACCAAATTTAAGTTATAAGCTAACTGACAATCAAAAAGTAATAAAACTTAACAAAGATAATTGGAGCAAATAAACAGTGCCAATGTTTCATTTGCACTTTCCAAAGAATAGAAAAAACTAACTTTTTCTTATCAATTTCAGGAACATCACTCTTCTCTGCCCTTTCAACAATTACCTACATTGAAACATCATCCAAGTTGATCATCAATAAATGCATTATAAGTATATATATGTATATAAAAGAAATCAGGTCTTACTGGAATTCTGTCAGGATACTTCTCTCTTATGCGAGCTGCTTCAGCCTGTCTCCTTTCTGGTATGAAATGTTTGTATATATTAGAGAAATACAAATTTGAACACACTCACAAATGATGTTCAGTTTATAGAGTTTTTTTCTTTAACATGATGCAAAAGTCAGGTTGCTCGTGAAATTAAGAGTAAAAAGGCAGACATGACGCATTAGTAACAACAAAACCATCTAATACCAAGTGAAGTAGCATATACATAAAAACTAAATTAAAACATTGTTCTCACCTAAAAAATGCAAAGAAAGTTCATACTCAGGTGATATAATACGGATATTTTTTATTCCCAGCTAAATAAAATAAAAATGAAAAAAAAAAAAATGGTAAAATACAAAGCTCAGGCATGAAAATTGAAAATACAAACATCTAATTTAATTCTCAATTAAAACTGCACTGTAAGATATAAGGAAAATAGCATACAGTTAAAAATCAAAAATAGAAAAACAAACCAAGAGGGTGTTCCATCTTGAATGAGCTCTTAGCCATGACAATATTTCTGTAGCAAAAAACACAGATTAAGAAAACAAAATTAGGGTTTGCTAGATCGGTTGATGAGTAAAAAATAAACACAACAAACAGAAGGGGAAATAAAGATAGCTTGCAATGGAAAATGATATTGCTTACCAGATAAGGGAGAATAGTGAAGAAGAGAACCGAATTGAGTGAGATCAGAGAAGACGAAAATATGAACCCATGGAAAGCTTGTTATATCCATTTGCGTCACTTGCCCAACGACACCGTTTATTAACTTTATTGTTTGACTGTTAAGATTTTTAATTAAAAGAAGTTAATAAATTAAAAATATTTCCTAAACTAAAGGATTTTGTTAGTTTTATGGTATTTAAATTTAAAAATTTATAAAATATATTCTTCTACAACAATTTAAAATAACAGGTTTCAGAAATTTTAGTTGTCTTCCTGACCAATGTAACTAATTTGGATTTTGAATACTTTTTTAATAGATTTTTAAATATTTTTTTTGTTAAAAATTGTAAACATATGAAGATATTTTTGTTATGTTTTCATAATGCACAATTGGAGTTGATAAAAATTTAAAAAATATTTTTTTTTGAAATCTTTTCATAATGTATAATTGGAATTAATGAAAGTATCATACTTAAAACAGGTTCTTATATATATAATTAATATACCTTTATTTAGTCGAATTAAAATATTTTATCTGATTTTTATATATTATTATTTATTTTATTAAACTTAAAATGATTTTGTTAACATAATATAAAATTGTCTCTATCTTTAATTATATAACAAAACAATTTATTATATAAAATATTTTAATTACATTAAATAAAAATATTTGTAATTATTATTAAATAAAAAACATATTTTACTTTTATCATAGAATTTAAAATATAATGATTTAAAAAAACTGTAAATAAAAAATAAAAACTATCTAAAAGTGAAATATGTTAATTATCTGATAATATTAATTTATATTTAACATTTCTTAAACATATTACTAAGCATTTATAAAAATAGGTAATAAAAATAAATTTATATCTAAGTTAAAAATAGATTACTAGATAAATTGTCATACAGGTAGTTAAAAATACAAGTGTGTGCTTGTGTGTTAATTTTTATTTTACAAATAATTATTTTTTAAAATAAATTATTATACTACAAAACAATAATATAATTATTTTAAATAACTATGTTAAATGATTGTTATTTTAGATAATATCATTATCTAAAAAATTGTTTTAAGAAACTGATTTTGTTTAAGTGGTTATTATTTTTATAATTCTTTTTTTTTCAAATAATAAGTTTATAATTGTTTTAAGATTTTTTTTCTATTTATCCTAACATATATAATTTTAAAGATAAAATTTAAAAATA